ATAATCACACCAGGCAGAGGAAGCCCATGAGACTGATAAACTGAGAGGCCCTTCTATTCATACTGACCACAGGAGGCCCCTGAGGCTTGTGGTCTGGGAGGTCCCTCTATCCACACTAGTTAGAAGAGTCACCTGAGACTGATGGCCTGTGAAGCCCTTATATTCACACTAGGCAGAGGAGGCCCCTGAGACTGATGGTCTGAGAGGCCCTCATATTCACACCAGGCAGAAGAGGCCCCTGAGACTGATGGGCTGTGAGGCCCTTCTGTTCATACTGGCCACAGGAGGCCCCTGAAACCGGTGGTCTGGGAGGGTCCTCTATCCACACTAGTCAGAAGAGGCCCCTGTCCCCTGAGACTGATGGTCAGAGAGGCTCTTATATTCATACTGGCCACAGGAGGCCCCTGAGACTGGTGGTCATAGAGGTCCTATAGTGAATCTGAGGAGGCCCCTCTATCCACACTGTTCTAAGGAGGCCCCCGAGACTGATGGTCTGAGAGGCCCTTTTATTTATACTGGCCACAAAAGCCTCCTGAAATTAATGGTCTGAGAGGCTCTTCTATTTATACTAACCAGTGGAGGCCCCTGGGATTGATGGTCTAACAGGCCCTTCTATTTATACTAGCCAGAGGAGGCCCATGAGACTGATGGTCTGAGAGGCATTTTTTCCATACTGGCCAGAGGAGGCACCTGAGACTGGTGGTTTGAGAAGCCCTACTATTCATAATCGGCAGAGGAGGTCCCTGAAATTGAGGGTCTGAGCCCCTCCTATTCATAAGGAGCCAAGAGACGATCCTGAAATTAATGATCTGAGAGGCTCTTCTGTTTATACTAGCCAGAGCAAGCCCTTGAGGTTGGTGATCTGAGAGGCCCTTCTATCAATACTTGCCAAAGGAGGCCCCTGAGACTGATGGTGGCCAGAATAGGCCTCCGAGACTGATGGTCTGAGAGGCCCTTCTATTCAAACCAGGCAGAGGATGCGCCTGAGAATAATAGCCCGAAGAGCCATGTGGCGGCAACTGGCCGTTGAAAAAAAAAACTCGGGCCATATTTCGGCTTGTTATGGCCCCACAGAGCTCATGAGAGCACCTCAAGGGCTCCTAAGTAGACACGCTTATCTGCATGAGGGTGCCACGCCGGCTTCTGAAGGCTCCTTGTAGGCATCTAAGGGCCCGTTCCGGCCTCTAACGGCTCCACCCGCCCGTGATGGCTCCACACCAGTGTTTATGAACGCCACACACCGGCGCCTTTGAGGGTCATACCAGTGTCTCTTAAGGCCGTATATCGGTGGCTCTGGGGGTCCCACACCGGCGCCTCTATGGGCCACACACCTATGCATCTCAAGGCTCTATAGGTGCATCAGAAGGACCCACACCGACACCTCTGAGGGCCCCACACCGGTATCTCTGAGCTCTTAAGGCCCTTCACCGGTGACTCTGAGGACTCACCGGCGCCTGAGAGCACCATGTTGATGTTTAACGGCTTCAAAGGCCACTGAAGGCACCACACAAGCTCTCACTGAGCTCTTATGTCCCATACCGGCGTCACTGAGGGTCCACATCTGTCTGGCACCCATCGGCGACTCTGAAGGTCCCACACTGACACTGTCGACTCCGAGGGCCCCACCTGCGTCTGAGAGCATCATGCGGTCTCTAAGAACCACACAGGGCTTCTGAAGGCGCCTGGCAAGCGCTATCGCTTTAGCTCTGATAAGTCTCATGCCGCCCTCTGCATACAAGAGTCCAACGCCGGCGCTTAGGTGATAAGGGCGCCTACATGCGAAAGAGAGTTGATAAAATGAATTCATAGGAAAAGGGGCGCCCGCCTGTGTGCAAGAGAAGGGCGCCTGCTAGGGTCGTCGCCATGGATTTTTGACTGGGGGAGGGGGCAGAGGCGGATCCAGCTCAGAGTTTTTTTTTGGGGGGGGGGGGGGCAAACCATAACAATTTATCGATTCTTTCCATGCATCGTCCATAGGCGTAATGTTAAAATTATGCCGTTTGGGGGGGGGGGGCAAATGCCCATTTTGCCCCCCTGGATCCGCCACTGGGAGGGGGGCATATCGGCAGACTTAAAACCCAAAAGAAGGTATTGTCGTCGTACTCTTAGCCCAATACACTATCTGTGTTAAAGGCCGTACAAGTCGGTTTTTTTACAGTACACATCTGAAGTCCGATTCAATTTGACACAATTAGGGGCAAAGCCGCTGCTCTTCTTTTAGGGTGTACCAATTGCTGACGCATGCCACCAATCTGAATCTGATACATAATGCATTCATGCCCGTGTAGGAGGAGGGGAGATATTACAGCCACAATCTCTCTTTTTGGCTGCTGTAAGAATCGGCGGCGCGAAGCGTCGCGAAAAATGGCAAAAACATTTGTCAAAATACAGCCCCAAAACACTGCAAGCCTTGTAGCATGTAAGAGGTCAGAACACCTAAGGTCGGGTCACCGAGTCAAGCAGCCTCTACATAAGTTTTGTGACCCTGCATCAACCGTGCAGCTTGTTTCCTTGAAGTTGGAAATTTAGTGCAAGTCTGCACAACTGCGGGGTTGAAGCCGGAGACGGTCGGAGTTGTCTATTCTGCAAATAGTCATTTTTAAGCATCCTCAGGTGTTTATTTTGGGGGATTTGCCCCTCGGATTCCTCAACCGGGGGGACGCGTCTCCCTGTCCCTTCGTTTTCGACGCCCATGGCGCCTGCGATGGCCATACGGCCGCCTGTGATGCTCATAGGGGTGTCTGATTGCGAAAGACGGTATCATATGATGCCTACTGGGGTGTCGACATGCAATTGAGGGGCGATTATCAATGCCATAGCGGCTCCTCCGTACGAAAGACGGGCGTCTACATGCTAAAGAGGAGCGGCTCTGAGGCAGTAAGGGCGCCTACCAGTAGAGGGGCGCCTCCGAGGCCTACGTATATGGGCGTCCACATGCAATAGAGGGGCGCCTATCAATGCCATAGGGGTGCATTCATACGAAACAGGTGCGCCGCCATGGCAAAGAGAGATTTGTATAAGGGTTTTCAGGGGTCATGCGCCGTTTACGACAAAAAGATTCAGATTCTAAGAAAAAAATCGGAGAGGGGAACAACTTTAAAAAATAGTGCGGACTTTCCGCGCTGTTCGCTTAAGCAGTTACGCCCCTGGCCCCTGGGTACATCTGCCCGATCTCAGAAGCTAGATTTGGAGGTCATACTTGAAAGCAGTACGATGAAAAAATTGGAGGCCCCTGAAAATAGGAGGCCCCCTGGAAAAGGAGGCCCCTCAACAGGGTGGCCCACCCACTTTTCATGACGTTCCTACGCCCGTGAGGAGCTCTCAGCTCGATGTAAAGACGGAACCGTCCCGCCCCGGCACAGTCTACAATTCAGGCGGCGCGTAACGGCTAGCGCCGGCCGCCGCGCCGCCGCGCCGCCGCGGCGGCAGGTTGTTTGACTTTACACCGCTATTACTAGAAAAGTTGTGAACCGATTTTCTTATTTCTTGCACGAGAAGATCTGCAATTCAATTTTGGACAGGTAGCCGAAATTTCACATTAATATTATGTTTACGGCGCGAGTTATTGGCGAAAAATAGGAGGGGTGGGCGAAATCCGCCCCCCCTTCCACTGCGCGTGTTAGACAATATGCTGAGCTGCCAGCTGCGGGTGACCGAGCTCTCTCAATTCCACGCTGGCTTGGCTTTGGAGCCGCAGCAGACGGCGAAGGTCAAGGTCATTGCTAAGGCGGCGGCGGGTGCGCAGCGTCGAGCCGGTGAACCAGAAGCCGGCTGCCAGGTATTTAGTTGCCAGGCTGATTTGATCCCTCATAGTCGAAAATGGGGCTACTAGAACTGAAAATTGATTTGTTTGTAAGCAAATAAGCGATTTGATAGTGTAAATCGCCTGGATTACAACGTTTAAAAATATTTTAAAGGCAAAATACTTTAGTTGCAAGGATTCTAAGGCTTGGTACTTTCCAGTCCAGGTACCACAAAAATTAATCATTAAAGAGATTAGGTGCAGATTTGGCCTAAGATGTGCATGCGCCAGATAGCCCATCGTGAAAACGGCTATTCACATCATAATACTTTTGAAAATATTTTCTTGCGACACTTCGGTCATCTATGCCTAGTGCCTTAATAACCAAGATGTCATCCGTAAGAGAGCAAATAATAAATGAATATATTAAAAAAGACAATTATATAACAGCTGACCGTTATTGTCTAAAACGACTTCTTCAGCGGTTAAAAAAGCGCTGTAGAAGTTTTTTTAGACGAAAGCGGTCCGGTTTTATATAAATGTCTCTTTTAATATATTCATTTACTACTTACTCTCGGTAGTAGGTACACTCGTTCAATATATCTGCATGATGTCATCAATCTATGTTTTTACTTTCTTCTCGAAGCAGTCTGTGTTTAAGACCCTCACGAGCTACCTGCGCTCAAAAAAGTTACTTAAAAAACGCCCAAGAAACGATACGAAATTGAGTGTTTTAACATTGTATGGGCATCTCTATATTATAAGATCTCTATGGTCGATTGTATATAATGTATGCCTAAGCTCATCTCATCCCTGAAATTTAGATAGTTATCCGGTTAAGATACTAGGCAGCATGATGGCAAGCCAGAAGCCACAATAAACATAGTACGTGATCGAATGTAAAACATCGAAATGTCATTTCCATGAGTGATTTATCAATGTTCTTAAAATGTGATTTTTGACTTAAGGTATATTTTGTATCCATTACTGACGATGGCACATTGTTGTCGAAACGTCTAAATACAAAAAGATTTAGATTGAAATTTTAATTTTGGTTTACAACTCTTGGTCATCAGATTTCTTAGACATAGTCATATTTGTATCTCGGTAATCTTAAAATGCACTAACAATTAAACACAATTCTGCAAATATGACATACCAACGCTGCATGACGCACAAGTGGAGCACATATACAGATTACTTACCGGGCGTGATGCCCTACCGGCCTCGGGGAACACCGAGTAACACGCAGTCTTACCCTCAATATTAGGACGACACGGTTCACTTGTTTGATTATGTCCAGCATTCGGCGCTCATTGAGCTTCTGAAAAAAAGCATATTAAAAATGTCAGTTAAACACATTATAGCCTTCATTGAAGAAGCTAAAAAGGAATTATAATCAATTCTGTAACAGCAGCAAAATCCCGTACCGTGCTGGGACAGGCAAGTAATGACTTGTCTTTTCCTTTTTTCACGAATGCTTGCGTGAATTAAAACAGAAATGTAAATTGAGAAGCCAGCACTAATGATGAGCCTTCAGGTGAACCCTGTAATGGCTCTCATTAGAAGTTAACCACATATTTTCGGTAGGAAAACATTAAACAGTCCATGTCGCCAAGCTGTTGAAAGTATTGGTGGTAATGCTACATAACCTTGAAATACAAAAAATTGATTAGGCCTTTTGAAGTGTAAAACGTAGTTTGTCATCTTCTAATTCGGGTAGCGTATCACCTGTATCAGCAAAAAAGGCAATGTAGACAATGAACCTCGCGAAGTAGTTCACTCGAGCTAATATGAACGTCAGCTTCGTCTAATTCGCTATATAGTAGTTAGTCTTACGCATTATATAAATATATATAAAAGGCATCTCATAAATTGCCTTCCGCAATACATCGCCTATATAGGTCAAGTTTTGAATGGAGCGGTATATTAGCCCAGCCTGCCTGTTTATGGTTAGCGCCTGCCACCAGCACGGCACGGATTTAAAGGGATTATCCCACCTTCAAAAAAGTCCCGTTTAGGATTCGGAAATGTTACTCAGGGTATTGTGACGAGTTCTGCAAGTTATTACGCGTTTTCATACTATGCTTTTTGAGATATTGCGATTTTTATATTTCATCGTGACGTCATTTAGATCGGATCTGTGACGTAATGAAGGATTCACTTCATGCCAATGAGGGGGGAAATTTGGCAGCAAATATATTTGCTTTCAAATATGACGCGGCTCATACAATAACAAAAGTGTCTCTGATTAGGCATTTTGTAGTTCTTCCAACTTATTAGTAAAACAGGTTCTGGCGTTCAAACGCCTGATGACGTCATCAAAGCGCCGTTAATGGTTAACCTTCCAGGCGGTGGGAATTTACTTTTTTCGATATATCTCGAGAACCGCTGCGCCGATCGTCACCAAACTTTCAGTACCCTCCCGGGAGCAGCTAGCGCACATGGTGATCAAAAATTTTTTCCAAAGGCTATGATAGGTTGGCCGCTAATGACGTAAGAGTGACGTCATTTTTGCCATTTTCGACCCAAAAAAAGGTTTCGCGGGAAGAGCTGTCAGGCCTACAGCTTTAGAGATACAGAAAAATGTTTCAGATATAAGAGGTGTGGAATCAAGAGGGCTACAAAACAACTATTTCGTTTTTTCGAATTTTTGGATTTTGACCCCCAAAAATCAAAAAATAGATTTTTTGAATATAATAGCCAAAAAATCCAAAAAGTTTTTTGAATTTCGAAAAAACCAGAATATATGTGATAGTCCCTACCGCCTTCTATCTACATACCAAATTTGAGATCGATACCTCGTTTTTTGGCCAAGTTATAGCGAAAAAACTGTTCAAAATTGATGACGTCAAATTTTCAAACTCAATTTTTAGCAATTCTAGACCTCGTAGCGCAAAACAAAGACCACCATTAGACTCCCCGTGACGAGCTGCATCGAATCGATACCCATTTTATGCAAAAATATCAACTTTGAAATTTGACCTTTTTTGACCTGACCTTGACCTGACCTCCACCAGAAAGTGACCTAAACCGTACCTGATGGTCTTATAACCAACACCATTGAGTTGGAAATGAAAAACTGGCCATAAAACATGCATCACATAACCTTAGTAAAGTTGGGCTCATGTGGTGACCCTTGGTGACCTTTGGTGACCTGACCTGTGACCTGACCTGGTATGACCAGTGACCTCTAATAGCAACATATGTACTAGACAACTGACGCCTTATCGCTGATTTTCGACAAAATGCGTTTTACTCGGTGTTATAGCGCTTTCCCTAGAAGCCCTGTGAACGGTGAAACATTTTATCTTTGACCTGACCTGTGACGTCATCGGTGACCCCGAGGTCAATGAAATTTGGTTTCCCTCCACAAATTTGACAGGGCTATCGAACGCCGTTTGAATTTTCCGGATCCGTCCAGTAGTTTCGGAGATACGGGGGGGGGGGGCAAAAAAGTGCCCCCCCCCCCCCCACCGCGTGGAAGGTGGCTGGTAGGCCCACCGCCTGCCGGGTTAAGAGATAGGGCCTTAGCTAAGGCCCACTTTTCAAATAAAGGGAACGAATTTCTTTAACACCACGAAGCTGAGGACATTGCGACCAGGATATATAGTGGTGTCTGAACCTGGCCGCCAACTTGGCTATCTCAACTCAGAACTAATGCAAAGGTGGGACAGTCCCTTTAATTAAAGCGTCTTTATTCCTAACGTTGAGCGCACATTTCTTTAACGATGATTGTTAACTCTATCATTTAACTATATGAAGCAAATGGTATGTCAAAAGCTAAGCTAAGGAATATGTACTTTTAACAGGATAAAAATACATCTTCCTGCATGCTTGACGAAAAAGATGCAAAAATAGGTAGTACGATTCGAAAGTACGGCTTACGATAAATATAGCAAAATCATAAGCAGATAAATTAAGCAATAATCAAATCACACATAACACGTTTACAAAATGAGCAGCAAGCATGCTGGTCCATCATCACTTCACACCTGCCACCATATAAAGCTCAGAAGCGACAGAAGCGATGGACAGAATCATCAGACGATAGACGAAAAACGCGAGAGATTAAACAGCAACGTCAGCAAACGCGTTTCATGCTACAGTGAAAAGAGTGAACAATAATTGTGAGCTTGAAGACTATTTTCACATTTCACAGCATCCGATAAGCAGAAAAAGATACAATTCTGCAATTGACATACAGGCCACTCCACTCTCCCTGCCACCTTGAAGATGCCGCAGCCCGCGGGCCGAAGAAACCAAGGAACAACATCCAGCACTGCAAGCACTAGGCATAGGAGCTAAGGCAGCGTCAATAATAGGTATATGCTTATGTAATCAAGTCAAGGCTAGATCTGATATATAATGAGGCCAGGTTGAGGTCAGGTGAAAATCAGATCAATAAAGGTTAATAAAGGTTTATCATAATCTTGACTTTCGGGAATTAATGCGCATCTTTTTTAGTTTGCCATGGCAAAATCAACAACGTTTTGCTAACTGTATGTGTTAAACAGTTAACCAAAAAAATCCGTGACGTTACTTAAATGCTTGATTAAATGTCATCACCTCCAAGATTTTGGGATCAATTTGCCTGAAAAATGTTCTATGCAGGGCTGCGGAGTCGGAGTCGGAGTCGGAGTTGGAGTTGGAGTTGGAGTCGGTCGGAGTCGACAGTTCTGCCCGGAGTCGGATTCGGAGTCGGAGTCGGAGTCGCCAAAATCTTACTGACTCCGACTCCGGAGTCCGAGTTAACGCTGCATAGCTCAGCGTCATGCACTGCACCTGTTTAATTGACGATACTGCGCTCGAAATTAGATTTTGTCGGAAAAAGGTCATTTTGCTGTTTTGGACGAACGTTTTAGCGAAGGAAGCAGAAGACGCTCAATTCCCCAGAACCTGCTTTTTAATTCTGCATGCTATTTTTAATGCAAATTTGCAACGCAACGCCTTGGAAAGCACATGAGATCGTTTCAGGCAAGGTAAAAACATTTCCATTATGAACTTCCGAATATCATGATATGCATTTTAATAGAAACGTCCGGAGTCGGAGTCGGAGTTGGAGTCGGAGTCGGAGTCGATTTTTGAAGCCGGAGCCGGAGCCGGAGTCGGAGTCGGAGTCGGAGTCACCCTAAAATCCATCGACTCCGCAGCCCTGATTCTATGTGCTTATAACATAATCTTATCTAATTTGTCAGGCATTTATCTTAAAAGCTGTGATGGGAGACAAATTATAGCTGGGTGAAATTTTCATCAGCATTCTGTACCTATTATATAAGTGAAGAATACTCTCACTACAGTTGTATCTAACTATGCAGATGCATGCGGGAAACTAGCTCTCGTAGGCACACAAAGGGAAATACAGAGGTCATCATGCAAGCTCAAACAAAACACTCAGTGGCAGCAGACTCACTTTTTGGGTGGAACAGCAACATGAAAAGAAAACATGTAAACGGTCAGCTAACGCCGAGCATTAAGCAATAACGGTTTACATTGTCTGTAGCCAACAACACAGGCGTACCTACCCCTACCTACCTATCATCCTCGGGACGTCACGCGGAAATTTATCTGTTACAATGCCTGTTGGAGGATCATTTTTTCATAAGTAAATAGACTTTTGCATATTCTCATGATCTTTCCTTGTTTCCAAAATATGTTAGTCATGCTTATATTACATTGAGTTAATTTTTAGTGGAACAATCGAACGAACACATACGGTGTGTTAACACTCAATATCATTTCGCAACAATACGTTTTTGAAAAAGAGAAAAGGCTATGAGATTGTTCAAAAATATCATTTACAGTTAATATTACCCAGATATTGTTTCACTCTCATTCGAACCGCGAAAGATATCCGATAATTTTAAAGCGCTATAATTTGAAGGGCTGAAATTCGTGAGTGACTTCCTGTTCTTTTCCCAGGATGTGACAGTAACAAAGTTAGAAAGTAAAAATGCACAAAATGAAGATAAAATTGCAGATGATTCGAGGCAGTTTATGCTGAAACACTTTGAATATAATATACCTTTAAATTTTAATTGATCACTTCGAACGCAGTGCTGCAGCTTGAATATTTTGTTTTAACATCGCATAACTTTTAGATTCAGTTTTACATTGTATATCCATGTAAGGAGAGTGTTTTCACCGCATCTAATCCAATCATTAAAATTCTACATCGTCCAAGGTTTCAGCAAAATGTGTTCGTCAACAATAGCGACCTTCCAATCACGTTATGCAACTACCAACTACCAGTGTCCATTACGTAAGTGGCCAATGATTATACGGCGCGACAGCCTACATGCATGACGAAGATATCGAGGACACAAAACAGGTTTCTCTGATTCAGCATTCCTGCACGTCACAGTCAATAGCCGACTAGACACAGTGGCTACATACATTCCCAGTTCCTTACATTACGTAGTGATGCACTTGCAAATGCAGACAATACAACTGTCGCCCGTCTCACGACCCATGTAACCATGCGGACACAGACAGGTAAGCAATGGATAACGATGCGCCGTTTGGGGCTTGCTCGCCCTGCAAGTCTTCGACATTCGCGGGGACATTTTCATGACAATTTGACTATTTTGTTCTGCTTTCGTAATCGAAGTCGATGATCGTTACGTAAGTCGTGCCTAAGCGTTAGCCTTCAGCATGATCCACCATGATGTCAGCGTGACTCGCTGGTCTGATGATGTGACCACTTACCTCTGTCATGAAGAGCTGGCGAACTGAGTCGACTTCATAGATTATTTGTTTGAACCATAGCTCATATGCTGAAAGAAAACATAGTTGAAAGGTGAGAGCAGAAAAAAAAAATTATGTAAGTGTTACATGCATTCCCGAACAAAACAAGATACGATCCGCACGTATAAATGTACCTGTATCAGCCACGGTTCACCGCACATTATGTTACCTATGGTTTAACCCTCGACCGTATTGCTGTTTTCCCAGCCGCAAACGTACATTCGTGTATATAGGGGGGGGGGGGGGTCCGTACCGTACCTTGCCGTTTGGCACCTGATCGAGGTAGAGCTTCGCAGAAAAAACGAGCGTGCTGCCCATGACGAGAGGAAGCCGATGCTACCCAATTTTAAGGTCCTAAGTCATTGGTTGACCTTCCAGGTCAGGTCAATGACCTAAAGTCGAGAAAATCGGGACCTGTTAGAAAGTCGTGAAGTGTGGCTGCTGTGTGATTTTTCGGGGTGCTGATCACGAACATCATGTTAGTTTTGATCACAGATGATGTCTTCAAGTAATTAGGCCAGGTCGGGTCAGGTCAGGTCAGGTCAACCATTAGGAGTCCTGCCGGGTATTCGAAGTAAGTGTCAACCGCCTCTGACAACTTATTAGCATATTACAAAGGCACCAAAACTACTTCGTGAAGGTACAAATGGTTGCTTAATTCGAATTCAGCTCCAAAAAGTAGCCCTGAAACACGTAAAACTCGAAAAACAAAGGGCCAAGGTGATCAAAGGTCAAGGACTTGACCTGATCTTCAGAAAACCTTAACACCCACCCAAGGCCATCCATAGAAGGTACAGTCACTCCCCCGCCGACCAATCAGAGACAGATCCTGAGTGACGTCACCCCTGATGCTCGCAAGGGGTACTCCATTCCTTTACAACGTTAAAAATGACTAACTTCATTTGAAGATTGTTGGTGACGCTCTACACATATCGCTCAACCGTTGATGTCATTGGAAAGTTTAACTTATTTTCTAGCGATAAAAAAGAGCAGCAATATGCTAAGAAATGCACTGTAAACCAAATTGACAAGTCTTGTGTAATATAACCAATCATCTCTTGGTATGTTTACCAACTGATACTTTTTAAACAAGCCGTTGTCTGGTGCATTGCTTGTCAGGTGACAACTACACTGAAAAAAATATTGACTAACTACGACCTAATAAACGAAGTCATGTCAAGGGAAAACTTTGCGTTCCAAAATATTTGTCATTTAACCAACCCACAACCAGCGAGCACTCAGTAACCAAGCGACAACAAAGCGTATACTAGTGCTAGGCATTACAGGAACCAAAGGGAAACAACTGGAAAACAATAGAATAACCAATGCTTAGCATACACTTCGCAATGCCACCAAAGGTACAACTAACAGTTGCGCATTCTCCAACTAACCCACTATCATGTCTGTGCAAGGTTTATACTTATGATGTACAATATCTGTACCAAGTCAATACAGCGAGCTTACCAACCCAAATACCAGGTATTCACTAGCCTGGTACTAACCCCCTTCCCTCACCCCCCCCCCCCCCCTCCCACCCACTTCACATAGGTACGATATTCCGTTGCGCCTCTCGACCAAAGCTTAAAAAAAGATAGTTTGATTTCCAGATCATTTATTTAAAAAAAAAAAACGCTAAATAACATTTCCGGGCGTAATTTTTCCATGAACTCATTACACACGAATGACAGGAAATATTATCACACCAGTTTTCCACATCATGCCTTCCATGTTACGCGGTCTGGCTCTATGCCAGAAGAAAGAAATGCGGTCTCTGGACTAGCTGCAAACAACGCCACTCCGGCGGCTACCCGTACTTTGCCGGGCCGCCGGCACCGGCGCCACCCTTCAGGGCCACGCTCACGGCGAGAAACAGCATGTGCTTCATGACTTCACCATGGAAGCGCTGCCTGACTCTGTCTTTGGGCGCCTCGTCTTCGACGCCCAAGACATGATACGACAGATAGCGCCAGGTGGACCGAGAGCCCGTGGGGTATTTGAGAGAGCAGACGAAGAGGGCCGCGGCCCATACGAGGAGAGTGTCCCTCGCTGTCACGGCTCTACTCCATCGATGAAGACAGTGCCGCCGGCCACCACAGCACCAGGACCCTCGCCATCGTTGAGGAATATATCCAGGGCGTCGCCCAGTGTCCAGGCGATGGGCTTCGGGACGTTATCTGAAAAGAGGCATGCATTAAACATGTTTAGGGAAAACTGCAAATGGAAAGGGCACGTGGGACGGCCGGGGCGGGCATGGAAGGCACGGGACGGGGAGCGGTGGAGTGCCCCACGTCCAGACACGTAGCCAGGACTTTGCTCAGGATTTTGACAGAAGAAAGATGGCCACGCAGTCTCGTATATGCAGTAGCGGCGGAATACCTTCAATTAAGAGGGGGGGGGGGGGCATTGCAGACTTTGGCCCATTCTTTCCATGCAACGCCCATAGGGCTATAGCCCTATGGGCGTTGCATGGAAAGAAATGGAAAGTTGCATTTTAACATTATAATGTTAAAATGCCAAAATCAAAGGGGGCACGGTACCCCGGTGCCCTCCCCGTTCCCCCGCCTATGCATATATGCAAATTCATGTATGATGTAGCAAATGTGACATGACATTGGGGAAACATGTACATTGTAGGGACTACTGTCACAAATTCAAGAACACAGACAGGACAGTTAAATCACAACTAAATAAAAGAAAGAGAAGAGAGAAAAAGAGAGAGATAGGGAGAGAGAGAGAGAGAGAGAGAGAGAGAGAGAGAGAGAGAGAGAGAGAGAGACAGAGAGAGAGAGACAGAGAGAGAGAGAGACAGAGAGAGAGAGAGAGAGAGAGAGAGAGAGAGAGAGAGAGAGAGAGAGAGAGAGAGAGGAGAGAGACAGAGAGAAAGAGAGAGAGACAGAGAGAGACGAGAGAGAGAGAGAGACGAGAGAGAGAGAGAGACGAGAGAGAGAGAGAGACGAGAGAGAGAGAGAGAGAGAGAGAGAGAGAGAGAGAGAGAGAGAGAGAGAGAGAGAGAGAGAGAGAGAGACGGATACAAGGACGGTGATGAAGACAAAGACGCTGGTGGAGATGGAGATGGAGACGGAGATAGAGAAGGGAGACAGAGAGGAGAACGAGAAAGGGGGACGCTGGTTGCTGAAAGGGGGCGGAGGATGAGACGAAGCTAAGGGGAGGCATGGCGATCTTATCACCGAATTTTGCTGCGATGTGATTCGGGCCTCGGCGACAAAGTCGTGGCTGAATCCGGCAGTGTATCGGGGCCTCAAAGACAGGTCACTTCAGATTACGCATGATGGACGGGCAATGAATGCGAACGTACCTTGATAGTTGTTCTCCCACCGGTCTCGCAGCCTCGGATATCCGTGTAAATCTTATAAATTGCCAAACGCCAGCCTGCTCACCAACCCACGTGCACCTCGCACGGCGACCGCGAAGCGAAAGGACAAAAAACGACGATGGCGGATATTGCGCACGCGCACGTCGGCGGGGAATTCAATTCCAGAACTGACGGGAGACGCTAGTCGCGCGGCCGCCGTATGACGAAGGTAGCTGCCAGAACTGCACGTGCAATGAGGTCATAATGAATGCTTGAATAATGCTGCTTTACTAAGTCATTAGCAAGTATCCGAAAACAAACTCGGCACTAATGCACTACAAGATGGACGAAATCTAGAAGCAAAGTAAAAACTAACTACGATCTTCTCATGCACTGGCTGTGACTTAGGCTTGTATACGTTCTGCGTTTGTCTTGATTTTGGCAAAGCCAAAGCAAGGAAAACCTTTGTGAACTTTTTTTCAGTGTACGAGTCAATAGTTATTATGCACACCAACTTCTCAGTATCCAGACCAACTCTACATTTGTTTCAACGTTTGTTTCTTAACCAGTTTTGGAAACTTGTTGCCGCATGGTTATTTAACCGGCGCCTAGCTTGTACTGGTCAGCTGGTCAGCATACACATGGTCAGCTGCGCCTGACGTCAGACTTGGCGGACCAATCAGCGGTCGCCGCCCGCCGTTAGCGGGCCCCGGCGCGGCGGTTTCAAACCAGCAGTTGTCGCGCGGCCGCCGTGCAGCCTGGAGCAGCGACGAGGGCTGTTCCAGCATTTGTGCAGTAAAAAGTGAAATCTGTGAACTGTGGTGTTCGTGCTGTGAGTGAGGCCCCCTCTGGCCTGCGGGACGAACTAATCGTGCCTATACCCGCGGTCGAGACGCCTCCCTTCCCCTGCGCGCGCAATGTAAGTGGGCCAGCATGCACATGTGAGCAGATGTTTTGCGGTCGGTGTTTCTTATATATAAATACATTTATTTGCCTTTAATTTAACTCTTTGTATTTTTAACTTAACTGATGAACATATATGGGCTGTAAAAGCTAATCTGGTTGGCGATCATGATTTATTCGAATTATCTGCGTGATCGTGCAACTGCATGATTGTTATGCTTAATGTTCAGGAAGTATTCGTCATACGGGCATGTTATACTTCTGGCTTGATGCGGTGCACAAAACCATGTTCTTCCACATACGCAGCAGTTCTTGCTTCAAAGACTTATATGCTGACGGTGCACGATAGGTATACCTACTGGGTAATGGGTATACCTACCTCATGCATTTACCACATCCATTCGAAAATATGCACTCGGAATTGTCTCCTGTCAATAGTATTAATTACGTGACCGTAATAAATACTAATGATTCCAGAAACTTCCGAATGGATGTGGTGTATGCATTCGTTGATTATATAACCCATCGGTATTTCGTTTCTTGTCAGCGCAAGCCTTTGAGCAATAACTGATGCCAGTCATGGCTTTATGCAACACTTCCAGCCAAAAAATGACCTGACCGTATAGAAAATATTTCCTGAATCAGTATCGTGGCAATTGAAAACGAACGCGAATCGTAAGTTCTTAAGGTTATCAACGCAAACAAAGCGATTGTAAGGAAGAACAAGTTCGAACAGAGCGTTAGTACACTTACTTGTTGACAATTTGTAAGCTAGCAATGCCCAGTCAAAGGCTAGTTCATCAACAAACCAGGGGTTGGTGAACCGACAAGGAAACGACTATGCCTATCCAGAAGTTGGTAGGTCCACAAGGCCCAAACAAGTACTCAACAAGGTGACGCCTATGCGAATTGGAACCAAACTTGTAGACAAACTGTTAGTTTGTTGGCCAACAAGCCTGGGGTTGGTGAATCGACAAGGCATCGACAAGGTGACGCCTATGCGAATTGGAACCAAACTTGTAGACAAACTGTTAGTTTGTTGGCCAACAAGCCTGGGGTTGGTAAATCGACAAGGTATCGACAAGGTGATGCCTATGCGAATTGGAACCAAACTTGTAACAAGGAGCCAACTTGTAACTTGTAGATTTGGTTTACAGTGTGGTGGGGGGGGGGCTATTTTTTGCCCCCCCCCCCTCGTATCTCCGAAACTACTGGACGGATCCGCAAAATTCAAACGGCGCTCGAAAGGCCTGTCAAATTTGTCGAAGGAAACCAAATTTCATTGACCTCGGGGTCACCGATGACGTCACAGGTCAGGTCAAAAATGAAATGTTTCACCGTTCACGGGTCTTCTAGGGAATGCGCTATAACACCGAGGAAAACGCATTTTGTCAAGAATCAGCGATAGGGCGTCAGTTGCCTAGTAGATATGTTGCTATTAGAGGTCACTGACAATACCAGGTCAGGTCACAGGTCAGGTCACCAAGGGTCACAGGTCAGGTCACATGAGCCCAACTTTACTAAGGTTGTGTGATGCATGTTTTATGGCCAATTTTTCATTTCCAACCCAATGGTGTTGATTATAAGACTATCAGGTACGGCTTAGGTCACCTTCTGGTGAGGTTCAGGTCAAGGTCAGGTCAAGGTCAGGCCAAAAAAGGTCAAATTCTAAAGTTGTTAGTTTTGCATAAAATGGGTATTGATTCGATGCAGCTCGTCACGGGGAGTCTAATGGTGGTCTTTGTTTTGCGCTACGGGGTCTAGAATTGCTAAAAATTGAGTTTGAAAATTTGACGTCATCAAATTTGAGCAGTTTTTTCGCTATAACTTCGCCAAAAAAAGAGGTATCAATCTCAAATTTGGTATGTGGATGGAAGGCGGTAAGGACTATCACATATATTCCGGTTTTTCCGAAATTCAAAAAACTTTTTGGATTTTTCGATTATTATATCCAAAAAATTTATTTTTTGATTTTTGGGGGTCAAAATCCAAAAGTTTCAAAAATCCGAGATAGCAGTTTTGTAGCCCTGTTGATTCTACACCTTTTATGTCTTTATCATTTTTCTGTATTTGCAAAGCTATAGGCCTGGCAGCTCTTCCCGCGAAACCCTTTTTTGGGTCGAAAACGGCAGAACATGACGTCACTCTGACGTCATTTCCGGCCAACCTATCATAGCCTTTGGAAAAATTTTGGGTCACAATGTGTAAAATTGATGTCCGGGAGGGTACTGAAAGTTTGGTGACGATCGGCGCAGCGGTTCTGGAGATATATCGAAAAGTCTGGAGGGGGGGGGGCAAAAAATAGCCCCCCCCCCCCACCAGGTCGCGGGCTAACATGCCACCGCTGACGCATCAAAACAACGGCAGCTCATTCATCCGACCTGACCATCAGCAGATAGCAGCCCGTGAGCACACCAACGTACAGTCCACATCAGAAGTAATGTGGGGTTTCAGTCATGGGTATGTTCTGCTTCTGAAGCTTAGGAACGATTAACCAGACTACAATGAAACTTCGAATGTAGCTTATATGTATCGTCACCCTTGCAGCTGCAACTTTAGCTATTAACATCTTCTTTTCGATCACTCCGCATTAAACAATCGCCAGTCAAAGCCAACCGTTGAGATTGGTAAAACCCTACATTACTTTAGCGGTGGGCTGTACGTACACAAAATGCCGAGATTACCAATGCAGCGACAACAATGAGTCACCGGCACGAATAGATCCGTTCCGTCACCTTGAGTAGTCAGTCGCGCCCGGCGCCTGGGGTGCCGATGGGGACCGCCCCGGATGATGAAAGCCCCGCCCCGTGCTACTGAGCGCGGCACGTGTCTCTCTCTGTCTGACCTTGGTGGACGATGATGAACAGGTGCTCGTCGTGAACCACCTCGCCGGCCGCGCCGCTCTTGAGCACCTGCGCCGAGAGGATCTTGTCCAGGTGCAGGTAGGTCCAGTAGTTTTCACCCTTCTCCGTACTGCCTGACGAAGTGCCGTTGCTGAAACAAAAGAGAACGTGATGAGGACAACACAGTGAAGGAAGACACGGCTTATTTTGAAGCCGGGTGCAGGTGCATCTCAACCAGCATCTGATTCGGTATGTAAGCAGCAGTCAAGGAACTCAGAAATCGTGTTGAGAGATTACTGTGTCGGGATTGACAAAGATCCTTTGGCATTTCAACTGGTCCGAGTTCAGCGCTCGCCAGGGCATCATGACCATGCGACAGTGACGACCGTATTGTACAATGTATGTTACAAGATAACAGCATTTGTTTCGCACAACACCTGTACCTGATAAGATCAAGCACCCAAGATTAATTTCATGACCTTTCGCCAATATTGTATGATAATTGAATGCAGCAACTTTCACCATAAGACACCTAACGTGGACACACTAAACGAGCGCCGTCAGCGAAGCCATCCCGGACGACAAAAAGGTCTCAACGACGTCTAAAGGAAGTGTCATGTCTCGTGATTAGCATCATACTCGTGCATGATGTTTTCGAGGAATGTATACATATACTACCTACACAAGAAAAACTTCAGTCACATACTAAGAAAGGTGTTATATGAAGAATGATACTGGAAACAGCCGTTCGCAAAGCGACAGAGCAGCCCTTTTGAGACACATAAGATAATGGGACGTTCGTCGGCCCCGGTTCCTGCTCAACAATGGTGTCGTGAGCCACGGCTTGACGTCCGGGGCCACGATTTGTCAGAAAATGAGCCACGACTTCGACAAAGCCAATGCTCTTTGATATATCCGCTGCACAAATCTATAAGCGCTATTTGATCAGAAAACTGGATACGAGCGATCCCGCCTGGTCAATTCAATGCACTAGAACCAGCGTCATATGTGACGTTTGGGCCAAAAGGAGTCGGGGTTCATTCCACATGCCGAGTCTGCCGGTCCGAGCCTGCCCGGGCGGCCGTGCGACCGCAGGGGCGGATCCAGCTCAGAGTTTTTTTTTGGGGGGGGGGGGGCAAATCATAACAATTTATCGATTCTTTCCATGCCTCGTCCATAGGCGTAATGTTAATATTATGCCGTTTGGGAGGGGCAAATGCCCATTTTGCCCCCCCCCCCCTGGATCCGCCACTGCGTGCGGGGCTTCTCGGTGGCGGCGGTGGCGCCGGCCGGGTCTCCGGTTACCGGGACCCTCCGGTTTCCGCCGGTGTCTGATGACCGGTGGTCCGGTCTCCCACGAACGATCGGCTGCGGTCGGCCGACAGATCCGACCACCGTCAGCGCCACGGCGTCACATGATCCGTGCCGTCGCCACCGGCCACCCGCGAGAACGCCATGGGTGAAGCGACATTGAACCAAAATATTGTTCTTCGGGACTAGCCCAACCTCAGCTTTGGTCACTGAACCGCCCACCCCTGCTCCTGGATGGATGAGGGTTATCCCATTCAGGCAACGAGAAAGGAGTGCTCCAGAGTAGGAGATTGTCCTACCAGGATTCTGAGCCCAACAGCAACTCACTGGGCTGGGTGACATCTCACCATGACGTCTAGGGAGATCCGATTTCCTGATGCGGGTAGGGCGAGAGATGCGTGCGATCGATGCGAGAGGAAACTAATGTATTTGAATAGGCTCTCGCATGCGATTTCCTGAACGCGGAAAGAGACTGTTTCAGCCTTAACTGCTTATTGTATGACACGCATTGAATGTGTGAGCGTGTGATGCAACGCTGTTTATTGTGTAAATACTTACTACTGTATGCACCTGCTGGAGTAAAATGATAATGGTAATTACCATATCTCATTCGTATGGAACTGCTCGAGAACCATTGTGCATTCACAATCAACGCCAGTCACCGTTTTCGTGTAACAAATTGGGAAGAGCAGCGGGTCGCCTGGAGGTCTATCCGGAACGCTGGCTAGTTGCCCGTCCACTCCAAACGACGTAATTGGTCTAAAGGTCGGCAGCGCGCGCCAGGACAGGGTCCTGGCCTGCTTTGACACGGTCCAGGACTCCAGCCCACAGCACTGCACTCGGGGACAGGAGGCCCCCGTAGCGAGCCACAGGTTTTTCGACAGCTGGACCGTTGGGAATCATCCGTGGTTAATAAATAATAAGTCTCTGTAATTTGCAGCAACGTCTCCGTAATTTTCAGCATCGTGATTCATGTCACATAATACATTATTTAAAACTTATGCATCTGCATTCTGCGCTGCGCGAGGCTGTGGTCTTTGCGAGGATAAAAAAAAATATTGATAAAGATCCTAAGAAGTGAACGATCAGGAAATGTCAGATAAACGCTATTTATGTCCGCATCTGTGTGTGTTAATGTTTCCCTGATAAATTGCTTATTATGATTCGCATGGCTGTTTATGACGATAAGTTACAAAATAAATTGTGAATGAATAATAGGTAATGGTGCTTGACAACTGCGTGTAGGGCCTCATGAATAAGCTGGAATAAGCATGAATAAGCTGGACGGCTTGAATAAGAAAAATGAGCAGCATATGTCCCGCTGCGAAACGTCTAATAAACAGCGGATGCTTGGGAACCATGACTTGGGCTCTTAAACATTACAAATTTCCCATATTATTTACATAGTTACACTCTACCGGCTACAAGGTTTTACACACTTTCATCAACAAACTTATCAGCAACATCACCGCCTAAAACTTCGCCGACATTCTAAAACGGCAAACCGTCAGTTTTATCGCTTGAGTAAGCGGGCATGAGCATTGACCGCTAATGGGTGCCAGATACAACAATACAAAAAAAAATAATCGTCGTACACGCTGCACCCACTTCGATCAGGATAGCAGCTGCCCCTCTATTTTTGGGCTTTGTCTATGCCGAGCTGCGGCAGCGCTGAGACAGCTCGTGCACGCTGAAGCAGCTGGTGCTGACGGTCTCCGGTCGGGACCGTGCGTCACCCGCGCGCCTGTCTCGCCGATGTCAACGGTGAGGGGGAGAGGGAGTGAGGGGGAGGGCATAGGCATCGGTATCACGAACCTCGACACCGTCAGCCTATGTCCACATAACAAAAATATTGTATCTGCGCTGCACCTTTCCAAGCAGCCTTCACAGCGCCAGATCTGTGTGAATGGGTGGCATAATTTGCGCGTTGCTGGCTGGAAGGGAACTGGGAGCCTGTGTGCTTTGGAAAATCAGAACAGCAGCAAGTTTTACCCCATTAAGGTACGCACTACGCACTCAGGTAGGTACAAGTCATTCATTGTCATAGATTCAAATGGGGCCTTTCAATTATTGAAGCGTCATCAGGTTAAAGCAATTTCAGGAATTATAATATTAAGGCAGGATGAGGATCAGAGGGTCAGATAAAATAATATGATGACATATAATTTGGACAAAAGAGCATAATTCCCATCAAAAATGTAATTCCATAAAAGGATTGCCATTTTCATTAACAATTAGGCACAGTTTTGCACTGTAACTGTAGGTATGCGAATAGGAATCGTTTCCAGAATAGAATCATCCAAAAAGACACATTCCTATGGGTATATCAGTGTCGAACGACTATGAGTGGGCCGTCCTTACTTACGAGCTACGAACCAAGCGCATGTTCAGCAGCATGCTGCAAGTTTCCCGACTGTGCAGGTGCACTGCACTCCCGAGAATTACTCCTTCCCAAAGAAGCTTATCTTTTGTTCCGCGAGATAATGATCCTGACGCTATTTCTGGAAAGTGTCATGGGGCAATGTTTCGTTTCTTTATGAAAAGTTTATGTAACTCTGACTCTCCGTCTCATGTAGATTAGAAGATAAGAAACGCCGAATTTCAAACAAATAAAAACCACACCCTGACATATAACAGCGATTACGTCTTACGATTACGATGCTCTATCTGATTCCTCATTCCAGTGCTGTTGTGAAATAGGTCATTTGTTGACCCTATCTGGGTCATATAACGGATGTTGACACTATTTAGTCAGTACCACAAATAAATAAGAAAAGAAAATGCGCATTCCCAGAGAGCTGCACCCTATATTCAGCCTGGACTAATGCGCATCATCCTATCATATCGGCCGTATACCCGAGACTGGTGATTGAGAGTCGGTACGGCGCACGCTGTCGACCTACGCCACATACGGAGGACGGTGTCAATGTCGTGCACACACGTGCGAGACGTAGCACCTGGCGTACGGGCGTACGGTCGGGGGGGGGGGGGGTGATGACATGTCGCCACCCTGCCGAGTGTCGAGGAGTGCCGGTAGCACCTGTCACTCGGGGCCCTATATCGACCATGTGAGGGCACCGGCGAAGTAAACGGCAGCCTCGTTCAGTCCGTCTTAGATCGTCTGTAGCGTAGTCCGCTCATATAGAATAAATACTAAATCAGCCAACCTATGCGAAGGGAATGTGATGGTACCGTACCTATGCTACGATAGGCATAACGGAGCGGGTGGAATATATCTACAAAAGCAGCATAGCTAGCGCTGCTCAGCCCTCGGCGAATAATAAAATTGTTCCATGAAACTAGCGGCACCGGAAAGTAAACGATACGCAGAAGGTAAACATTCGGCCACAGAATCGGCATATTTACGTATTCGGTATAAGTGATGCATATTGTTGCCCACATCGCGTATAAATTTAGACCAGGCTAGATTGATGATAGGTATGCCTGAGAGGCTGGCTGCCGAGCTAGCCTGACTTAGAAGTTAGAATTCATAATGCGTAGCATTGACAGTATCGAATGGAAAACTATGGTGTTATTATTAGCTCTGGGTTTTAGGACGTAAGGGCTTAAAGTCCATCGAAGTTAAAGAGCACTGTGATGCAGCGTCCTTCCAATCCCGTAAATCTTTGCAACTGTGCCTCTTCATTCGTTAAATGGAGGCGGGTTTCCTGAAGCTGCCAGGTAAACATCATGATATATTGACATGATAGCAAATGAGCGGAAGACAAGTTGGTACCTATCATAAAAACATCACTTGAGGGAACCGGCTTCCATGCATGAATATCTTACAATGCCCGATACATGATGTCATTGTGGGAGATGATTCTTGATTCGGCGCACGAATGCCACAAATATGTGTGGCACTCAGAAAATCCTAGAAGCCGGTTTGATGAGAAGTGAAACAATAGCATCCGGCAGAGTGAGACAACAACAGACGGTCTGTTGAGGGTGAGACACAAGTTCGGTGAGACAGGATCAGCCGGCCTAGTGAGACACCTATGACCCTCCGGTGAGACATTATAGCCGGTGTGCTGAGGCACTATCGTCCGGTCTGGTGAGGTCTTATTGAGACAATAGCCGGATCTGATGAGGCATGTTGCTGGTCTGTCAAGGCACTGCAGCAGCCGCCAGCCGGTCATCGTGAGACGATCAGCGCGAGCCGTCCAGGAAGTGTCGGAGCCCAGGCTATTTTTGTTACCCATGTGGTCCCACGAGCTCCAAAACAGTCTGATCTTTCCGCAACCAGTTCACGTTGCGGAAAGATCAGACTGCAGTTCACGACTGCACCCACTCCCAGAGGAGACCTAGTACCTACCTGGCTGCTGCGCCGGCCTTGCAGACGCCGTTGCCCATGGGGCACGCCATGACGACGGTCCTCGCCTCACGTCTGGTCACTGGCAGATGGGACCCAGACCCGCGCGGCGCCCACTGCTGACTGCGCTCGGCCCGTCTGCGGTCAGTGGCGAGACCTCTGCCAGGCCGGCCGCCGCGCGGAGAGGGCGGCCCCCGGCCCCGGCGGCCGCTACAGTGGCGCCGCGCTGCGGCCGCGGCTGGAAACACCAGCAGCCGTCGGCGGCGGAACTCAGGGGCCCGCGGGCCGCGCGGCGGCCCCGTCTGATCTCGGGCCACTCAGGCCAGCCGTCACCGCCGCCGGCCGCTGGCAAGGAGCCCGTGCCCCCGGCCCCGTGAGCCGATTGCGTCAGCCACAACTGCTTGGTCTTATGTCACGAAACGGGAAGTTACGTGCTCACTAGAGTTACGAGTAAGACACGGCAGCAGCAACCGTCATCCTGTGCTAAACGGCAAACGCTGTACAGTCTGTCTTAAAAGTACCGCGCAAAGTGACGGTGGATCCATCAACCCTGACCGAGGAAGGGCCTGCTATAATTTGAAAGTCACCGAACCAATTGACCTGGGGAATGGACCTGGATATCCATTGTTTCAGTGACTCAAATCCAGCAGTCCTTCCTCGGTCAGGCTTGATGGATCCACTGTTACTTTGCGCGGTACTTTTAAGACAGACTGTACAGGGCGGGCGGTACATACATACCTAATGTCGGCAACCAGGGATATTTACAGTTCGAATTGTCTCGGTGATAGACAGTTTGCAATCACATCACTCCGTTCAGCGCTATTTGCACAGCAGTGCCTAGCTCACGATCTAGCCTATGTACTATGTAGACTTTCAAGTAAATCAGTGCCTAAACGATCAAATAATTTTAGGACTCGAGTCGCTAAGAGGCATATTTCCTTTAGCCAACGAATTAGTTATGCTGGGTGGGTGACGGGGAGAGCCGGAATTGGTTTGTCTGTTTTGTTGGGTTAGGCCCTTTCGGTCCTTAAACTCATTTCAGACCATTGCAGCGCCGTGACGATGATAGTTAGGAATTAGGGGGAGACATTGGTCTGGGCACTCAGCAACCTTAGTGAGTCGCCGGGGCTGAGTCCGTCCAGATGACAGGCCGACCACGGACCAGCCCCCCAAGCACTCACTGCACCCGGCTACGGGTATGCTCCCTTAGGAGCTGCGGTGCGCTCCAATGGGAGCAGCCCGTATGGGATAAAGTTGCCTGTCCTGCCCGGACCAAAGGTTGCGGCGTGGAGGAATAAGGATTTGACTGTCCTGAAGATGGAAAGAGTCGAGGATGGAAACGACGGAACGGGTGAATATCCGGAATTCCGAAAACCCTCTATAAGGATTGCTGATTGTAAAGCACTCCAACGTAGGTAACGTTATTCTCGCACTGCTAGTGCTATGAAATCGCAAGCATTCTGTCTCACCAAGCCGCCAGCCGGGTGTTTACATAACACAGTTCCAACCACTGGCGGATCCAGGGGGGAGCGGCAGGAGCTAAAGCCCCCCCCCCCCCCATTCGAAACTCGACAGGGGTGGCAATATAACCCTCGCCCGTAAACGGTGTTTTGCCACCTTCGCCCATGCAGGGGGGGGGGGGCTGGTGCGACCCCCCTGGCGTTTGAAAACGAAGCGTCGTAGAGCTTAGCGGAAAAGACCAACGGATTGCTCTCAACGAGATCTCGCGATTGGTGGTATATTTTTTGGTCCTAGGTCAACATTTGACATACTTATGACCGGTCAAAGGTCAAATTTTCGGAAAAATCTAACTTTTTCAGATTTCCGCGCCGATTGCGGCGAAGCGGTAAGAGATATCGACTTGAAATCTTCACTATCGTGATCCTTGATCAATTCTCAATCGTTTGGTGTGTATTTCGATGTCATAACTCTAAAAATGATGCATTGGGAGCATCGGAAGTCTGCAAGGTCATTTGTGCATTGGGTCACGTCAGGCGTGTGACGTCACTGACCTGACCCTTACCCAAAATGAACTACAAGAAACAACCGACGATGCCTGAAATGGATAGCAAATTCGAATTCAGGGCATCAAAATACCCCGTAAAGGCATACAAGTGCAAGAAGTCATTACAGGTCAACCGAGGTTACTGACCTTACCTTGACCTTTAGTGACCTTCAAAATGTCAACGGACATTGTGCCAATGTCAAATCAGCCAGTTGTGATTCTAAAACAATCCATCAGTGCGTCAGGTCAGTCGGCATTTATACCGATGTGAAGCAATCTCCAATTTAGTGTAAATCTGGCCGGAGGTTGTTCCCTTTATGACGTCATAACTACGTGACCTGACATGACCTTAACAAAAAAATTACCAAAAGTTGCGCAAAGGATGCCCCAAAGGGTACTGAAAATTTGAGCGGGCTATCTGAAATGGTTCGGCGTGTAGCTAAGAAAAACCTCAGGGGGGGGGGGGGTTGCACCAACCCCCCCCCCTCTACATGGGCGAGGGATAAATTAGCCCCCCCCCCCCAATCCACCGGGATTGGTCATTAAAATGATTGATGGCTGTCAAATTCCAGCCTTCGATAGTAAAGATCCTTTAGATTTTAGAAATTCCTTTCCCGTTGTTAACCCGCGCCCCGTTGGGCTCTGCCGAGCAGCGGGCCCTGTTGGGGGGGGGGGGGGGCAATTTGGCCCCCCTAAGATCTCGAGAACCACGCAACCTAGCGACAAGCGGCAAACGGTGTTGGATAGCCTATCAGGGAACTACCTTGTAACCCAATTTTATTGACCTAGGTCAAACCGATGACGTCACAGGTCAGGTCAAAGGTCGGATTTTCACCGTTTACAGGCATTTCAAGAAATGCGTTGTAAAATCGAGTAAAATGCATTTCATTGAAAATCATCGATGGGGAAATGTTCTTCAAACACATATTTTGCTATTTGAGGTCACTGATACCAGGTCAGGTCACAGAGGTCAGGTCACTGGGGGGTCACAACACAATATGAAAGTGTCGTGTAATACATGTTTTATGGTTCATTTTACATGACAAATGCGATTATGTGGGTCAGGCAGCCTTAAGGGCCAGCTTAGGTCACGTTTTGGTCAGGGTCAGGTCAAGGTCAGGTCAAGGTCAGGTCAAGGTCAGGTCAAATTAGGTCAAATTTCAAAGTTGATATTTTTGCATAAAATGAGTGTCGATTCGATGCAGCTCGTCACGGGGAGTTCAATGGTGGTCTTTGTTTTGCCCTACGTGGTCTAGAATCGCAAAAAAAAAATTGAGTTCAAAAATTTGACGTCATCACTTTTGAACAGTTTTTTCGCTATAACTTGGCCAAAAAACGAGATATCGATCTGAAATTTAGTATGTATATAGAAAACGCAGAGACTATCACATATGTGCCGGTTTTTTCGAAATTGGTAAAAATTTTGGATTTTTTAGTTTTGCTAAAAAAATTCACTTTTTTGAATTTTTGGGGGTCAAAAACAAAGAAAATTGAAAATCCGAGATAGCAGTTTTGTAGCGTCGCTTTTTGTCTACTAGACAATTTAAAGAACTTTGAAATTGCTTGGTAACTGTAGATTTAGTGAGCGTTTCAAGATTGCATGTTTTTTGCTCATTTTTGCTCGAACATGACCTCAGTTTAACCTCAATAACTCCTGACCTAAGGTGACCTAAGACTTTAAATTCGGTGTGAAAGTGTCAAATTGATGCCCAGGAAGGTACTGAAAAATTGGCGGCGCTACGCGCCGCCGTTTTCTTGCTATTCAGGAAAAACCACAGGGGGCCAAATTGCCCCCTCCCGAACGGGGCGAGGGTTAAGTTGGTAGCGATTTGACAGCTAAGCAATAACCTACCTATCGATTGAATTGAAGTGTGAAGCTAGCAAACTTGCTCTGGCAGCTTGAACTGACATGACCCGGCAATTTTTCATTCACGGAATATGCGCAACAAATTTTAACCCTCGCCGGCACAGGGGGGGGGGTTGATGCAGCCCCCCCTAAGGTTTTTCGCGAATAACTCGCGTAAAAAGCGGCCGATCGCGACGCAACTTTTAGTACCCTCGCATTGATCAATTTTACACCTACCCTGAAAATTTCATGACCCTTACCCCAATGACCTTTGACCTGTGACCTCTTTTCTGTGACCATGTTTGGCCGAAATCGCGGTTCGGCGCACGTTGGTTCGCATTAGCCGCGCGTTTGCAAGCTTTTCGTGGTTTCAAACGTTCAAACATGTGATTTGATGTTGCTCCCATGCATTCGGGTGGGTGTCAAGGTCACCTGAAGGTCAGGTCAGGTCATTGACCTTTGGTGACCTCGGGTGACCTCGGTTCACTTTTTCGAGTTTTACATGTTTCTAGGCTAGTTTTTGGAGCTGAATTCGAATTTAGCAACCATTTGAACATTTACGAAGTAGTTTTGGTGCCTTCGTAACATGTTACGAAGCTGTCAGAGGCGGTTGACACGTATTACGAATACCCGTCACAACCCCTACCGGTTGACCTGACCTGACCTGACCCGACCTGGTCTAAATGCTTAAAGACATCTCTGATCAAAACTAACACGATATTCGTGATCAGCACCCCGGAAAACCACATAGCAGCCACACTTTACGACTTTCTAACAGGTCCCTATTTTCCCGGTTTTCGGGTCATTGACCTGACCTGGAAGGTCACCCGATGACCTAGGACCTTAAAATTGGGTATCATCGGCTAACTCTCGTGACGGGCAACACGCTCGTTTTTTCCGCGAAGCTCTAGCTCGATCAGGGGCCAAACGCGAGGGGGGGGGTCGTACCAACCCCCCCCCCCCCCTTGTGCCGTCGAAGGACGCAAAATGGCCTGTGCCGGCGAGGGTTAAGGAACACTCACTGAGTTTGCGTTGAAAAACTTGTGAAAATTGTGTTGAGTTGTTGAAAATCTGAGCTGACCTGACCTGAAGCAACAAGTTCGCTCGTCGTCTTGAAATATTGTTTTAGGTCAAAAGGTCATCATAAGTGTAACTCTGGCATTAGCGGCGGAACACCTTCAACTAAGGGGGGGGGGGGGCGCTGCCGACTTTGGTCCCATTCTTTCCATGCAACGCCCATAGGGCTAATGTTAAAATGCCAAAATCAAAGGGGGGCACGGTGCTCCGGTGCCCTCCCCGTTCCGCCGCCTATATGATTACTCTGGGCCACTATATGTTGAAAGCAGTTTTGAATCATCCGTCTGGGATCGAGCAAAGCGGCCCGCAACTGTTCAGATCAAGATGACATGTATCCGTAGCCAGTGGCGTAGCCAGAGATCAGCGAAAGGGGGGGGGGCCATGGTCCTCGAGGGGGCGACTTTTTCCCTTAAAGGAAAAGGGCCACCTTCGTGAAATATGAAGATATCGTTGTTTTTCATTTTGACATTATTATTTTTCATTTTCTTTTTAAAGCTGGTGCCAGAAGTGCACAATTCGCTAAAAAGTATTTAAAACTATTTAACATATTGGTACTATGTTGATACTCTCTACGGCACCTACTGTATGATGGCATAGCGATGACGTCACACTCAAGCCAATCAGCGTTCAGAAGACAGACTCGTCGGAATGTGTCAGATAAGCTGATTGGTTAAAGCTGAGCTGGTTGGAGCTGATTGGTAAAAAACCAAAGCCTCGCCGCGGGTGGCTGTATTGTCGGATAAGAACGCATTCCTGGGATAAGGACGCATTCCTGGCGTATTTTCTTTTAAAATTGCCGATAACTACGAATGGAGGCCGAAATCGGCCGTAAGGAGGTAGACAGAAAGGTTTTCGGACACGGGCTACAAGATGGCTATCTCAGTTTCAATCCCCATGTTAAAGGTGGCCCTTTTCCTTTAAGCCATTGTCAGCTAGTGACAGGGGCGTCAGTCTAAAATGTAACGTCATGTTCATGCATGATTTACTAGGTGTTGCAAAATACATAACAACCAGCTTTCGCTGATTTTCATAAAATCCAATTAATGCAATTTCCAGCCTGGTGTTTTTTTTTATCAAAAACCTTGATCTAGATGAATTTTTAGCATGATATAGGAAACGAGCTCAGGCTACGGACATTTTATTCTCAAACGCATCCATGCGAATTCGAAACGATGAAATGACTATACGTTGATCGATAGGCACAATCTTTATTCTTTGCAAAAAAAGAAAAATATACGGGCTCTTTCACTGATCCGAAGTGACCTGTGGGCTGCAGCCTGTGGTCGACCGGGGTTGCCGTGTTTAGAATCTCAGAGCGCACGTATGTAGGATTCACGCTGCGACTCATTGCCTAAATTGGAATCAAGGAAAGACTTGAACATTTAAGACCATGAGATCCACCATGAGATCTCAACTCATTGTCATACCAGCAGCGACTGCAGTCAGAGGCGACCGAACACTGACATACGTTCTGGATTTTTTCTCCACACATCACCTTTACAATTCGATGTCCAGTGCGTGCAGCCCCTACTTGTGGACATGCATGACTGCCTCCAGTGACTGACTGCCACTAGCCTCCAGAGGGCAACAAGGCAACAACTCCAAAAATAGCAGTTTTTATTGAAATCTTTTTCTGCAATAACTTTTGACTCAAGACAGTGACGACATTTATTTTGCCAGCAACGTGCTCCTCTCGTCGAAACGCGTCAAATGTTGACCTTGAAAGGTCATTTTGAAAATTTGACCTCAGGTTAAGGTCATGACCTTGACGGAAAGGGTCATGCTGCATATCACTCGATCCGTTTCGTCGAGCTGAACACAGCTGACGTGTTTTCACCGCTCTAGCACGTCTCTATCAAAAGGTATAGCGAAAGAAATGCTGGTGACCGTTCATGACCTGAGATGAACTCAGGGGCACACAGAAGGGTCACAGCCCACAGGTGCATTTTGTCGATTCAGTGTGTTATGTCTACCTATGAACCGAGTTTGAGAGGGTTTTGAACCACATTCGTCCAAAAGAGGCGCATTTCAATTTTCTCCAATAGAAGTCGTAAAATTGACCTGGTCATGGATATCAAAAGTCCGAGATAAACATTTTATACATATTGTTAGTCTTATCAATCTCAGAAAGTTTCAAAAGTGATCGTTCCGTCGGTGTAGCGTACGCTGGGGCGGCACCGCACTGCTAGGCGAGGGCGGCATCGCAAAAATAGGCGGCAATGCGCTGGGGGGCACCACTTGCGTTGAGGGGTGGCATTGTACGGTGAAGGGGCGGCGTCGCATTGAGGGGTGGTATCGCAACGAGGGGTGGCACTAACGAGGCTGCCTTATAAGAAACGCTTGGCACATCCTAGCCCAGCTCGGCGCCGCCTGGCTGCTGCATCTTGAAAAGGGTCCTTGGTGTCGATGAGACAGCCCCATTATCAAATAATTACCTACCTAGCGTCAGTGGTTTCGGGGGGGGGGGGGGCGCTATCGATCTTGAATGGGGCGGGGCGACTGAAATCTCCATTCAGATGGGCGTCAGTGACTACTGGAGGGCGCCAACCAACTCGGATAGGGCGAATGTGATCTTCAGAAGGGCACCGGGTGATCTAGAGGGGTGTAATGCTTAGATGGGGTCACTGCTGCCATCATTAGGGCGTCGGACGCTCTGAAGGGGCGCCATTTATCTCGGATGATTCGACTGTTATTTTCAGAGGGGCACCAGTGGTTTCAGAGGGGCGCCATTGATTTAGGATGGGGCGACTGAAGTCCCGGTTCAGGTGGGCGCCAGTGGCTCTTGATAGGCGCCAGCGACCTTGGATTGATGGCGACTGTGATCTTTAGAAGGGCGTTGAGGGGCGCCATTGGGCATGGATGGGGCCGCTGTTGCCTTCAGCAGGACGCTGGACGCTCTAGAGGGGCGCCTTGAGCTTGGATGGGGTGACTGTAGTCTCAAGGGGCGTTGTCTCGGATGGGGCGAATATGATTTTCAGAGGGGCGCCGGGTACTCTAGAAGAGCGCCATTGGTTTCAGAGGGTTGCCATCGATCTTAAGATGGGGCAGCTGTGATCTCCGTTTAGATGGGCGCCAGTGACTTTTGAGGGGCGCCAGCGACCTCGGATGAGGACGACTGTGATCTTCAGAAACGCACCGGACGCTCTGGAGGGACGTCATTGGGCTTGAATGGGACGACTTTAATCTCAAGCGGGACGACTTCAGTCTCAAGGGGGTCGCTAGTGGCTCTCTTGAGGGCGCTATTGATCTCGGATAGGGCGACTGTGATCTTGAGAAGAATGTGGGTGCTTTAGAGGGGCGCCAGTGGTTTCAGGGGGCGCCATCGATCTTGGATGGGCCGAATGGGGCAGCTGTGAACTTCAGAGGGGCGCAATCAACCTTCAATGGGGCGACTGTTCCGTTCAGGTGGGTGTCAGCGGCTTTCAGGGGCGCCATCGAACCTGGGGGTTCGGAATATTCTGGTTTCCGGAGGGGCGCCCTTGAACATTGGAGGGCTCAGGTCCTATTTGGGGGTGCCCTGGAGAACATTGGGGTGTCCAGGCACCCCCAAAGAGATATTGAGTTCGATCCCTGCCTGCACATCACTTTTTAATTCATGTTCCCTCTGTAAAACGGCATCAGCCTAGTCGGCGATAATTGGGGCGCCACCTGGGCGGCTGGGCGGAAAGGGGGGGCCATGGCCCCCATGCCCCCCCCCCCTGTCTACGCCACTGTCCGTAGCTCATTAGTGCAAGAATGAGATCAAATTCACGTTGTCAATGGCCACTGATGCTGTTCAGTTACGACTAAATTACATTTCCTTGAAATTTTCCGGATTGTCACTAAACGACTGTTTATTTTTTCTTTTTTTTTTTGATGACTTGAGGCATTTTGCACCTATCGACAGCCTAGCTGAAACTATTGAATGATGACCATGACCCTTGTCGTTTAGCAGAACATTATAAAACCAGTTATGCTGAGTGAGGCCGGTCTGCGATTTCGGTCGCAGCTGTGTCACACAGTGACGTTACCTCGGGCCGGCTCGGGTGGGTGCGGCGGAGGGGGCGGCGGATCTCAGTGACATTTCGGTGACCCTGGGAGTGCGGTGCACGTCAGTCCAACGGAGTCCGAGCGCTTCGGCTGTCCGAACGGCACCCAATGGACTCGCGCCGGGGAGACGGGCCGCTGCTGCTGCCGCTGCTCCCGCTGCTGGTGGTGCTGCTGCTGCTACTGCCACTGCCGCTGCTAGCTCAGGGTAAGGATGTGTGTAACCTATACACATGGAACCGCACTTTGACACATTGATTCATCAAAATGTCTGTCAAAATGGCAAAATGTTGTAAGCTGAATGCATCCGGAGGACTGACAGAAGTGGCTGGTGTGACTCTGACCACCAAACCTTAGGGTGGTTGATTGCTTTTAATTCCGTTTATTTATCTTATCGTTGGAAGAGTAAGATAACCATGCGCCCGTTTGGCTACGTGCGCACGCTAATTATTTTTTTATAACAAATGTACCCGATCCTATCAGGAAATTTCGGATCATGGTAACAGGATACAGTGTCGGCGCAATAAACTCCGCTCAGTAGATAGGTACTGGCTTTTGCTACGTCAATCCGTTCATTCGAAACTTGTCTACCTAAATTGAAAGCAATAATAATAATGATTTGAGGTTTAGGTAGCACCAGACACGTCGGGATGTTTCACTGTAATCCAAATAAAAGATAAGTCATCGAGTCATTTGTTTTTATTTCAGAGAGCACAGAAGCCTGTCCAGACCTCTTGCTCAAGGACCAGCCAGTTGGCATTCTGCTTTTAGTAAACCAAAGTTTAAATATTGCTGACAAGTGCAAAGAATATCAATGCATTAGAAATGTATCTACCGGCAAACTACAAATAACAATAAACACGTAAGTAAGTATATAACGAAAAGGCAAAATACGACTTCTACGTCTCATGGTCTATGCACTCTTTCGATGTAGGTAACAAGCTAGTCCTCAAGAGTAAGATATGCTGTATGAAAATCAAGTAGCTGACGGAGCAGATATTCATCCAATACATTTTAAATGCCTCAACAAAATGCTCCTAAGCATTTTTTGTGGATAATAAAAGGCACTTTTTAACGGACGCTTCATGTACTTACCAGTGAAGAAAGAGTGATGCAATATGAAACGTGTTAGGGTGAAGTCGTATAAGAGTACGCACTTAGTGGATTTCTTGCTCTCATTTGTTTAATATTTGAAAGAAAGAAATCGCAAATAGGGAATATTAAAGGTCATTGAATTAGCCATCAACCCATGGGGCAACGATCCTTCAGCGTAAATGGAAGTGGTCTAAAACTGACATTTTCTGAACCGCTGCAGTTGCGTACTCTTACCATATGGGGTGTGTAAGAGTACGCACGCCAGGCGGGTGGAGTACGCAAGCATATGAACACACACCTATGCAGCTTGTACTGTCCAAATGCTTAACTTCAAACTCAGAAGGCATTTAAGTTAATTCTAGTATCCAAAAAGAAAACATAAAATAAATCTTTCAAGTCTATAAATCAGGAAATAATCATGTCGTGTGTTTCTTTAAAAAAATGCACAATCAAAAGGGAGAATAACTCGTATTTGGAAGAATTTCGGGTACGCATCTGCATCACAGTGCTCCATTGATGATATACCTACAAAACAAACGTCATTGAGCGATAGATTAATAATTTTATATTTCTGTATATTCGATTTAATGTATAATTCTGCGTACTCTTACCCTCCTGAACAGTGCGTCCTCTTACCGTACATGCAATTCGCGCACAAAACAACCCCGAAACGTTGTGCATAACTTCGCAAACAGGTATTGCACTGCACAGTATTTCCCCAGATAACCTCACAAGCTTCCCACAACAATCACGGAAATGTACCTTCTCTCAACTGCCAAGTATCAAAATTATTGTACCATACCATAATAATATCATAACGCTCGAAAATAATATTCATCGCCTTAAACTCAACAGCGTCGCCGCTGAACGCCCACGTTCCGTTGGTGACAAGCACGCACTGGCGGCTTCATGTCACTTCATGAACTCGACAAACCCGCGTTGCTAAGCAACCGAAACAGCTGATGCGTACTCTTATCGCCCGCGTACTCTTACCCGCCCTTACCCTATGTTGCTTAGACAAATTGTTAACAAGTCACACTCACAACACAGCGTTAACCCGCGCCCCACTGGGGTCTGCGTATAACACGCCCTACTGGAGGGGGGCTATAAATAGCCCCCCCCCCTCCTAACTCCGAAAATACTGCGCCGATCGTCAAAATTCAAACGGCGTCTGATAGCCCCGGAAAAACTGTCGAACGAAACCTAATTTCATTGACCTCGAGGTCACCGATGACGTCACAGGTCAGGTCAAAGTAAAAATTATTAGCATTTTGGCTTGTTCACGTTTTGGGCTCTGGCCGCCGTCTTACAAGTCAGATCAGGCTCATTTTTGGTTCACACACTCGTGAACAGATGCTCTAGATACCCTGAGGGTACCAAACTTGTACTTTGATTTTCAGGTCAAGGTCAGGTCATCACAGGTCACGAAAATATTAGGGGAGAGAGGTCATATTGCGCCACCTTAAAGGGACCCTCCCACCTTAACATTAGATTTGAGTTGAGATAGCCAAAATGGGGTCCCTGGCTCACAATTACCGGTTTCGGCACTCACAACATCGAGAAATGCCATAAATCGGAAATATTGAATTTCAAAATTGCAGCATTCTGATTCAGAGGGGCTAATGCATAGGAATACCCCTCTGAATGTGTGACGTCAACGCAGATATCTAACGATTTTTAAATGTTTGACTAAAACGTTTTGTAGCACGCGGTGGTATATGCTGCTTTGCGCGCAACAAATGCCGCACTTTCAAATAAAGTCGCTAGGAACAGCGGAGATCCCAAAAAGTAAACAAAAGGAAAAGTCCAATATCTTGAAAACCGGTGAATATTTTTCGATGAAATTTGGTAGATATTCGTTTTTGCTCTTTCTGAACCGAGCGACATCACTTTCATGCCAATTCATTAACTTTTTTGAAGGTGAGAGGGTCCCTTTAAGGATATCGGCCTATTGCGGCTAAAGTTGACCAGCTGTCATGCTTGACGCTATCTCAAATTATACCTCAGTTATTTTGGCATCATATAACAACTCCAAATTTGTATTACACCCATAAAAATTAACAAAAGAAAAGTTTTCCGACACACCTGCAAAGGGCGCATTTACGGACTCCCCCATCAAAAAGCGCCCATGCCTCTCATGTAAAAGCGCCCTATTAAAAACAACGGCTTGCCACCTAACTAAGTAGTCTTTTTGAACGTGTCAGCCCATTAGCCATTTATGCTGTGAAGGCTAAGGTAATGGTAAGGTGAGCGCTCTAATGATCAAAGTGTTCAATAAAATGTCTCCTAACCACCAGATGCTGTTTCTCTGGGTTGAAGAATAGGGCGCAAATAGGGTGGGCGCAATTACGAATGGAACACATTTTTCATGAGCTTCAAATATGGCGACGACAGCGAAGCCACGGTGGTGATAAACTTTCAAAACTACCATTAAACGAGCAATAAACAATGATTATTAGTTGAATCACTATCTCTAAGATAGACCATGACACTAGCAAAGGTCGAAATAGACTGTTTCGCGTAAGCAAATAGAGGAAATCACAAAAAAAAAATGGTCTGCGAGAAAGCTGAGACCAGTGGCGCAGCCAGGGGGGGGTCAGAGGGTCAGCTGACCCCCCCGAAATTTCTGTCAGGGGCCCGCTCGAGAGAGAGAGAGAGAAAGAGAGAGAGAGAGAGAGAGAGAGAGAGAGAGAGGGAGAGGGAGGGAGGAGAGAGGCCCTAATCTAACCGGACGAGAGAAGTGGCCCGGGCCCCCTGGGTGGATGGGGCCCGGGTCCCCTGGGTGGATGGGGCCCGGGCCCCCCGTGGATGGGTCCGGGCCCCCGGGAGAACGGGCCCCGGGCCCTGGGTGGATGGGGCCCGGCCCCCCGTGGATGGGTCCGGGCCCCCGGGAGAACGGGCCCGGGCCTCCCGGAGAACGGACCCGGGCCCCCGGGAGAACTGGCCCGGGCCCCTGGGAGAACGGGCCCGGGCCCCCTGTGTGAATGGGGCCCGGGCCCCCCGTGGATGGGTCCGGGGCCCCGGGAGAACGGGCCCCGGATGGACGGGGCCCGGACCCCCGTTGGATGGGGCCCGGGCCCCTGGAGAACTGGCTCGGGCCCCTGGGTGGATGGGGCCCGGGCCCCGTGGATCCCCCGGGAGAACGGGCCCCGGGTGGACGGGGCCCGGACCTCCGGTTGGATGGGCTCCGCGCCCCCAGGAGAACTGGCCCGGGCCCCTGGGAGAACGGGCCCGGGCCCCTCGTGGATGGGTCCGGGGCCCCGGGAGAACGGGCCCCTGGTGGATGGGGCCCGGAACCCCGGTTGGATGGGGCCCGGGCCCCCGTGAATTTGTCCGGGCCCCCAGGAGAACGGGCCCGGGCCTCCCGGAGAACGGGCCTGGGCTCCCGGGAGAACGGGCCCCGGGTCCCGGGTGGACGGGGCCCGGACCCCCGGGTGGCCTCCGGGAGAACGGGGCCCGGGCCCCTGGATTGATGGGACCCGGGTCCCCTGGTGGACGGGGCCCGGAGCCCCGGGTGGACGGGGCCCGGTGCCCCAGGTGAACGTGGCCCGGGCCCCCATGTGGATAGGGCCCGCGTCCCCGTGTGGATAGGGCCCGGGTCCCCGGTTGAATGGGGCCCGCTAGGGTGACCCGCTTGCTCCGCAACGCGAATAAGGGGCATTTTCGATCGGTGGGCGTTTGGTTGGTCTTGTGTCCGTGGGTTATGTATCCATTTCGGTCGATTGTTTTTTGACGGCTAAGCATTTTGGTTTGGGAAAAAATATCCATCGCATCGAGGTGCTGGTGTCTGATGAGCATGCGTTCTACTATAGAACATGTCATGTGTAGTTTATAACAAAGGTTGACGTAGGTCATTGAAAAATGAAAGCCATCGATGAGTTACTATGTAGAGGTTTGAAACATTTATATTTTTAAGAATACTGCTGCACGTCATGCAAAAGCGATGGTTGGATTTTGGACAAAATTGAATGCTCTTTCCAACTGCCATTTTCAACTGTCAAACGTACCAGGTTATGCAGTAAAACCCGTGTAATTAAATAAGCCATTAACAAATACCATTTTCTCCAGCGATTTGTTCCACCTTGTTTTTGATCAATTAGCTTTTCACAATTTTTCCATGCGAGGCTGTGCATTTCTTTTGCCAACAGGCGTTGTTAGAACCCGCTCCGTCAAACAGTCGCCCGAAAATAGCATAAAGTCCCAAATCTGTCCGAAACGTCAATTTTCCAGCATAAGTGCCCTCACGGGTGCAAGGGGCTCGTGCCATCCCTGCACCGCACACCATTCGATAGCCCGTTCGATTCTCTACACGATACTGTGTTCCCCGATCGGGCCCACGGTTACCGAGATACTGCACGGGGACCGGACCAGTTCGGGCAAATTTAGCCATTTTCGCACGATTTTGCAAGCCGATTTATACATGTATTGTAAAGTCTATGACGCGAATTTGCACTTTTTAAGCACGCGCCATGTGCTCGCTATCGATCCGATCGAGCTGAGACCCTCAAAGGCACGTTACCCATCCTTGATCTATGAATCGCGAAAATTTCAGCGCACTAGGCGCAACGGTCTGGCCTGTACTCCGCGCTAAGTAACACCATGCCGGGATCTCGATAGCAGACAGAATCTACGTCACCACATCACCACACCACAACAAACCAAACCCGGCCCAAGGCAATACATGTCCCATATGAGCGCGTTAACCCTCGCCGGCACAAGCCATTCCAGCCATTTTGCGTCCTTCGACGGCACAAGGGGGAGGGTGGTACGGTACGACCCCCCCCCCGCGTTTGGCCCATGATCGAGCTTGAGCTTCGCGGAAAAAAAGGAACGTGTTGCCCGTGACGAGGGTAAGCCGTTGATACTCAATTTTAAGGTTCTTGGTCATTGGTTGACCTTCCAGGTCAGGTCAATGACCCAAAAATCGGGGAAATCGGGACCTGTTAGAACGTCGTAAAGTGTGGCTGCTATAGGGTTTTTCGGGGTGCTGATCACGAATAGTTATCATGTTAGTTTTGATCACAGATGATGTCTTTATGCTAAATGCAGGTCAGGTCGGGTCAGGTCAGGTCAGGTCAACCAGTAGGAGTCCTGCCGGGTATTTGTAGTACCTACGTGTCAGCCGCCTCTAGCAGCTTCGTAACATGTTACGAAGGCACCAAAACTACTTCGTGAATGTTCAAATGGTTGCTAAATTCGAATTCAGCTCCATAAACTAGCCTAGAAACATGTATAATTTGAAAAAGTACCGAGGTCATAGGTCAATGACTTGACCTGACCTTCAGGTGACCTGTACACCCACTCTAATGCATGGGAGCAGCATCAACTCACATGTTTGAACGCTTGAAACCACGAAAAGACTGCAAACGCGCGGCTAATGCGAGTCGGCATACGCCGAAACGCGATTCTGGCCAAACATGGTCTCGGAAATTAGGTCACAGGTGAAAGGTCATTTGAGTCAGGGTCATGCAATTTCTAGGGTAGGTGTAAAACTGATCAACGCGAGGGTACTGAAAGTGTTGTCGCGATCAGCCGCTTTTTACGCAAGTTATTCGTGAAAACCCTTAAGGGGTTGCATCATCCCCTCCCCCCTGTGCCGGCGAGGTTTAAAACTTCTTGTGATCGAATTTACGTAATGAAGAAGGATAAAGGCACAATCTTCTACAGCAGCCAATAGATGACTTAGAACAGGCATATGGAACTACATAAATCTTGTCCGATAGAAGCAGGCTACAGCTCCGTTTGCATATAGGTATGCTATCCATATTGCGGAAAGGGCACATTTCGTCCTCGAAAGATACGAATTCATACGTCATAGTAACATATTTCTGTCATGGTCAATTCGCGTAGAAATTGAACACCCGGTGATTACCGAGCTATTGTTCTATCAAAATTTTCCGATTCAAACTCGCTCAGGGTTATCGTGTAGGTAAAGGGGGCCCGCTCAGCAGAATGCGCATGAAATATGGAAAGATTCTAAAAAAATGGGTGGGGGCCCGCACACTAGGGGGCCCGCTTTGGAGGCGATGACCCCCCCGAAACGAAATCCTGGCTGCGCCACTGGCTGAGACACCTCACCTGCCCCCGTGGACCGGAATAAGAGCGAGTTATTGGTGGTGTAGTAAATGCACACATTCGAGTATTCGTTCGAATCGAATTTTGGGCAGGAGGAAGGTGTGGCGCATTTAAGAACATGGCGGAATATGACCTCTCTCCCCTATATCATGCGTCGGTCACGTGACACATGTTTTATGGTCCATTTAGGCCGAAGATTTCGAATTTGATGTCGTCTGCGTCATTTGAGGTCATTTTGAGTCGAATTTAGCTTAGGTCAGGTCACTTTCAGGTAAAAAAGGTCAAATTTTTAAGTTATAATTTTCCAACAGAAAAGGTGTCTATGGATGCAGTTTGAGCTCAGGAACACGATGGTGGTCTTTATATTGGCGTACGATGTCAAATACGTGCTGAAAAATTGATTTGAAAAATTAATAATTGTGAATTTTTTGCAATAATGCGCATAACTTGGCCATTTTTGAAGACATTTAGCTAAAACTTGCTAGAGTTAGTAATAATAACGCGTTCTATCACATATATTCCGGTTCTTTCGAAAAGTCAAAAACTTTTTGAAAAAAAAATGTAAAAATATAAATTTTGAATTTTATTACACAAAATTTTTGAAATTTTCAAAATTTCGAAAATCCGACGTAGCAGTTTGATAGCGCAGTCTATTCTAAGTCCTCTCATGCAAAGAAATTGGATCTAGCTTAAAAACTGAGCCCTTGGGAGTGATTGCCGTGGTTCAATGTTTTGCGTCGAAATCGGCCGAACATGACGTCATTCTGACGTAATTTCCGGCCGACCTATGGTAGCTACGAAGTTCAAATTTTGATACAAGGTGTCAAATTGATGCAGCCGAAGGTAATGAAAGTTTGGCGTCGATACGTCAAGCGGTTGATAAGTTATTGCAGAATAACGGGTGGGGGGCTATAAATAGCCCCCCCCCCCAGTGGGGCGCGGGTTAACCCTCGCCGGCACAGGCCATTTTGAGTCCTTCGACGGCACAAGGGGGGGTTGGTACGACCCCCCCCCCCCCCTCGCGTTTGGCCCCTGATCGAGCTAGAGCTTCGCGGAAAAAACGGGCGTGTTGCCCATCACGAGAGGAAGCCGATGATACCCAACTTTAAGGTCCTAGGTCATCGGGTGACCTTCCAGGTCAGGTCAATGACCCGAAAACCGGGAAAATCGGGACCTGTTAGAAAGTCGTAAAGTGTGGCTGCTATGTGGTTTTCCGGGGTGCTGATCACGAATATCGTGTTAGTTTTGATCATAGATGATGTCTTTAAGCATTTAGACCAGGTCGGGTCAGGTCAGGTCAGGTCAACCGGTAGGGGTTGTGACGGGTATTCGTAATACGTGTCAACCGCCTCGAACAGCTTCGTAACATGTTACGAAGGCACCAAAACTACTTCGTAAATATTCAAATGGTTGCTAAATTCGAATTCAGCTCCAAAAACTAGCCTAGAAACATGTAAAACTCGAAAAAGTGAACCGAGGTCACCCGAGGTCACCAAAGGTCAATGACCTGACCTGACCTTCAGGTGACCTTGACACCCACCCTAATGCATGGGAGTAACATCAAATCACATGTTTGAACGTTTGAAACCACGAAAAGCTTGCAAACGCGCGGCTAATGCGAGCCGACATGCGCCGAACCGCGATTTCGGCCAAACATGGTCACAGAAAAGAGGTCACAGGTCAAAGGTCATTGGGGTCAGGGTCATGAAAATTTCAGGGTAGATGTAAAATTGATCAACGCGAGGGTGCTGAAAGTTTCGTCGCGATCGGCCGCTTTTTACGCGAGTTATTCGCGAAAAACCTTAGGGGGGGGGTTGCATCAACCCCCCCCCCCCTGTGCCGGCGAGGGTTAATACATAAAAATCGTAGTCGTTCACAATACATAAATCGCTGCATCGTCCAAGCGCTCGGATCGATCGTTAGTCTTTTAAAATAGCAATTTGTCTATGCATCGTACCTATAGCGTTTAATAGCCGTTTTCACGACGGGCTGTCCGGTGAATGCACCTGATTTGACCAAATCTGCACCAAATTTCTTCTACAGCAAATTTCTTCATTTTATGAATTAATTTCAGTGTTTTAATCGATGATGCTCTCTGATAATATGACAAAGCAAGCATTTTAGCAATTAGTGCAACCCTAGCTGATAGCTGCTAAGAGACACACTGAACCTGAATTGACCAAATCTGCACCTGATCTGTACCAGATGTGCACCAAATGTGTACCAGATGGCCGCCGTGAAAACGGCTAATATTGCCTCTTTTTTTACATACTAGTACCTACATGAAGCGTTCATTGAAAAGTGCCTTTTATTATATATAAAAACACATTCTAAATGCCTTATTATGGGTGTCACCGTTCTTAGCCCGTAGCCGCATGCTACTAAACTGTGTAACCTCAACGGCACAGGTTATTTGCATTCAGGGTCGTTTGCCTGGTTGTAAAGATCTCATTTGTCCCAAATACTGCGCAATTCGAATGAGCTCCTGTGTCGACAGGTGCGATACGTTCCTGGACAGAGCGCTCCCGGAGCGCTGCCGTCCCGACTACTCCCTGCGCTTCCCCGCCTGCTGTTTGCGGCCCAAGTGCCGCCGCAGACGGAGGCTGACGACGGCGACGCCTCGGCTCCAACCGACTGGTTCAGCGACAGGACGGGACACAAGACGAGACAGTTCACCTGTCTCAGCAAACCAGACAGAAACGAAACGATCAACAAGTGGAGCACCAGAAGTTACCAAGGCGACGTCTGATCTTGCCAGCACTGGGGTCACGTCGACCCAAACGCCGCCCACCACTCGGCGACCACAGCAAAGTCAGTTGACATCAACACTGCGACCGCCACCAGCGCAGTTGACACCGAAGCCACCAACAACTTCACCCACAGCATCGCAACCTACTGTGCCGCCAACGACATCGTCAACAACAGAGCGACCACTAGTATTGCCGTCAACATCACGGCCAACAGAATCACCGGTGACCACGCCGCAACCAACACCAGCGCAGAGAACACCACCTGTACCGAGAGACGTCATTCTGTCAACCGTTCGGCCACGACGAACGACGGCTACCCGAAGACCTCGCGTGTTCGATCCCGGTAGCTTACCCTTCGTAGGATATCTCCCACCACCCATCGCGTTCGAAAGTGCGCCCAGCACGTCTCCCAAGAGCAACAGATCGAGGAACGTTCGGACGTTTGTCGTTCAGTACGCCACACCACGACCGCTGCCGTCCCCAGTATCGAGAGGTAGTGCGCGGCGTGGGACGCGCACGTTCGTTGTCTCTGTGAGACCGTCCATGGGGCGTCAGGTTTTCCCGTCCGCGAGACGCCGACGAAGGCGAGTGAGCCGACCCCTCACCGCTACTGGCCGCTGGCTCTTTCAGGCAATGCTTACGCCATTTATCAACTAGTCGAACAGATGGATATACCTTTGCTAGTAGATGTAACAATAAATGAAAACTTTCCCTGAAATTCAATAGAACGTTTATAAAAATGTCATTCAACACACTATAAATGCAGAAAAGCTTGTTTGTATCAATGAAAATGTCTACATATAACTTATCATAAAACGGCTTACCGATACCGGGTAGCGTATAGCGGAAGATAAAACTTATGACACTTCGTGGCGGTGTGTCTTCGGATGAATGACTTCGTACTCTAGACATACTAAGCTCTTCCGAACTATGAATTGTTGTGCTCTGAAACCAAGGCCCTCTGAAACAGCTTCATCATTTATGTCATGTTTGTTCGTGCATTCGGAACTACTATCCAATGGACTCGTATTAGGGAGTGTCTAAAAAGCAGACGAGATTAGCAGACGAGCCCATGCTCAGTAACCACTGGACCGATTTTGATAATTCTTTCACCATTCAATAGCAGGGAACTTACATAGGTGCCGTTTTTCGTTTTTTGGCGATTGGTTCACTCTGACTGGACCAATCGGACCAAAATGGTCCAGAACCATACACCCCCTTAAAAGCAGACGAGCCCATGCTCCGAAACTACTGAACCGATTTCGATGAAACCTTCACCATTAGACGCGCCGTGGTCTGAAACGGTGCCGTTTTTGATACTTTTTTGATTGGTCCACCTTTAGTGGTCCAAATCGGTCCAAAACCCCTAAAATCTGTTGCAGACGAGCCCATGCTCCGAAACTACTGGACCGATTTCGATGAAACCTTCACCATTAGACGCGCCGTGGTCTGAAACGGTGCCGGTTTTGATAATTTTTTGATTGGTCCACCCTAAGTGGTCCAAATCGGTCCAAAACCGCTAAAATCTGTTGCAGACTAGCCCATGCTCCGAAACTACTGGACCGATTTCGATGAAACCTTCACCATTAGACGCGCCGTGGTCTGAAACGGTGCCGTTTTTGATAATTTTTTGATTGGTCCACCCTAAGTGGTTGTGGTTGTATAGATCTCATTTGTCCCAAATACTGCGCAATTCGAATGAGCTCCTGTGTCGACAGGTGCGATACGTTCCTGGACAGAGCGCTCCCGGAGCGCTGCCGTCCCGACTACTCCCTGCGCTTCCCCGCCTGCTGTTTGCGGCCCAAGTGCCGCCGCAGACGGAGGCTGACGACGGCGACGCCTCGGCTCCAACCGACTGGTTCAGCGACAGGACGGGACACAAGACGAGACAGTTCACCTGTCTCAGCAAACCAGACAGAAACGAAACGATCAACAAGTGGAGCACCAGAAGTTACCAAGGCGACGTCTGATCTTGCCAGCACTGGGGTCACGTCGACCCAAACGCCGCCCACCACTCGGCGACCACAGCAAAGTCAGTTGACATCAACACTGCGACCGCCACCAGCGCAGTTGACACCGAAGCCACCAACAACTTCACCCACAGCATCGCAACCTACTGTGCCGCCAACGACATCGTCAACAACAGAGCGACCACTAGTATTGCCGTCAACATCACGGCCAACAGAATCACCGGTGACCACGCCGCAACCAACACCAGCGCAGAGAACACCACCTGTACCGAGAGACAACATCATTCTGTCAACCGTTCGGCCCCGACGAACGACGGCTACCCGAAGACCTCGCGTGTTCGATCCCGGTAGCTTACCCTTCGTAGGTCCAAAACCCCTAAAATCTGTTGCAGACGAGCCCATGCTCCGAAACTACTGGACCGATTTCGATGAAACCTTCACCATTAGACGCGCCGTGGTCTGAAACGATGCCGTTTAAGATAATTTTTTGATTGGTCCACCCTAAGTGGTACAAATCGGTCCAAAACCCCTAAAATCTGTTGCAGACGAGCCCATGCTCCGAAACTACTGGACCGATTTCGATGAAACCTTCACCATTAGACGCGCCGTGGTCTGAAACGGTGCCGTTTATGATAATTTTTTGGTTGGTCCACCCTAAGTGGTCCAAATAAGTCCAAAATGCCTAAAACCCGTTTGTACTTTGTCAGAGTCCGGATAGATTTCTGCAGCACAGAGGTGCCCCAAACCCATTGTCATGCATTTTGTTTTCCAAACTAGAGCAAAAATGCATGCTAATTGGGCCTGGGGCACCTCCGCGCTGCGGAAACCAGCTCATCGGTTGACTACGTGAAAACGTATTTTTGGGCTGTACTTGAACCGATTTGGACCACTTAGGGTGGACCAATCAAAAAATTATCCAAAAGCGGCACCGTTACAGACCACAGCGCGTCGAATGGTGAAGGTTTCATCCAAATCGGTCCAGTAGTTTCGGAGCATGGGCTCGTCTGCAACAGTTTTTAGGGGTTTTGGACCGATTTGGACCACTTAGGGTGGACCAATCAAAAAATTATCAAAAACGGCATCGTTTCAGACCACGGCGCGTCTAATGGTGAAGGTTTCATCGAAATCAGTCCAGTAGTTTCGGAGCATGGGCTCGTCTGCAACAAATTTTAGCGGTTTTGGACCGATTTGGACCACTTAGGGTGCACCAATCAAAAAATTATCTAAAACGGCACCGTTTCAGACCACGGCGCGTCTAATGGTGAAGGTTTCATCGAAATCGGTCCAGTAATTTCGGAGCATGGGCTCGTCTGCAACAGATTTTGGGGGTTTTGAACCGATTTGGACCACTTAGGGTGGACCAATCAAAAAATTATCAAAAATGGCACTGTTTCAGACCACGGCGCGTCTAATGGTGAAGGTTTCATCGAAATCGGTCCAGTAGTTTCGGAGCATGGGCTCGTCTGCAACAGATTTTAGGGATTTTGGACCGATTTGGACCACTTAGGGTGGACCAATCAAAAAATTATCAAAGACGGCACCGTTTCAGACCACGGCACGTCTAATGGTGAAGGTTTCATCGAAATCAGTCCAGTAGTTTCGGAGCATGGGCTCGTCTGAAACAGATTTTAGGGGTTTTGGACCGATTTGGACCACTTAGGGTGGACCAATCAAAAAATTATCAAAAACGGCACCGTTTCAGACCACGGCGCGTCTAATGGTGAAGGTTTCATCGAAATCGGTCCAGTAGTTTCGGAGCATGGGCTCGTCTGCAACAGATTTTAGGGGTTTTGGACCGATTTGGACCACTTAGGGTGGACCAATCAAAAAATTATCAGAACGGCACCGTTTCAGACCACGGCGCGTCTAATGGTGAAGGTTTCATCGAAATCAGTCCAGTAGTTTCGGAGCATGGGCTCGTCTGCAACAGATTTTAGGGGTTTTGGACCGATTTGGACCACTTAGGGTGGACCAATCTAAAAATTATCAAAAACGGCACCGTTTCAGACCACGGCGCGTCTAATGGTGAAGGTTTCATCGAAATCGGTTCAGTAGTTTCGGAGCATGGGCTCGTCTGCTTTTAAGGGGGTTTATGGTTCTGGACCATTTTGGTCCGATTGGTCCAGTCAGAGTGATACAATCGCCAAAAAACGAAAAATGGCACCTAAATAAGTTCCCTGCTATTGAATGGTGAAAGAATTATCAAAATCGGTCCAGTAGTTACTGAGCATGGGCTCGTCTGCTAATCTCGTCTGCTTTTTAGACACTCCCTCGTATAACCGGGCTGGCTCGCACCATTCATTTCACAGCTTTCATCAGGAACGATTAAATCATCCATAAAATAACGAAAATTACGTGATATATTAACAAATATTAGTCTTAATTGTTACAACTTCCTTCAAACGTGCCGCAGAATAAGAAAAAATAAAATAGTGCAGAGGCCTCTTGCACCAAAATACCTAGCTAGGTAGAATCGGCAAAATACCTACCTGGTAAAACTACCTACGGCGGTAGCTTCTCTTGCACCATCCCAAGGCCCTAAATACAGCACCATCCTACCTACCTACCTAGGTAAATTTGACAGCTCGCGTTTTTAGGATTTGTTTTGATTGGCTGTTTGGCGACGAATTATTTGTGGGCGCAAACAAATAGTAACTTAAGAAAACAATTAAATGGATATTGTTTTTATTAATATACATTTTGGTATTATGAAATCATTTTTTATTTACGTAAATACCGATGGAAGTTATTTTGATATTAAATTACTTGAACAAATAAGTTTCGTTTCCATGGCAACGAGTGAGTCTTGCACCTGGCTGTTCTGCTACGGAGGTACCCGAAGGTTGTTTCTTCATTAGACAAACACTATTCTTTAGAATTGTGTTTTTCTATTGAAAAACAAACTGAGGGTGTTTCCATTTCGGGATAGGATTCGTGTTTGGTGCAGCGAATTGGGGCATTTATCGCCTTGGTACGGAGAAGCACCTCTGTGAACCCATGGAGCATTTGGTCAATTATATTATTATTCACTCATAAAACATTGATTTATCATTGTCTAAACATTTTGTAATGCCTCATTTACATAAAAGTATCCGTGGATTATCATGTATTGTGCCTATTGTTACTAATTGAATCATTTTACCTAAGGTTTTGCTAGTTATTTTGGAAGCCCGCGTTTACTGTCAAACCGTCAAAAATTCCTCCGCGAGTACTTCTTTCCGGCTTTCGGTGCAAGAGGAAAACAGCCAGTCGGACTTTAACAATTGGTAAGTTCTTATGCCGCTCGGTAGAATTTCTAGGTAAATTTTCACGGTAGCGTTTTTTGGTAGGTAGTTTGGTGCAAGAGAATCTAGGTAAAATCTGAATTTACCTAGGTAGGTAGTTTGGTGCAAGAGGCCTCAGTATTAAATACTGCAGTCTATTAGCGTTTCTTTTCTAGATAACCTTGGCGAACGTTTAAATTGGCATATACGGCGCGGCATTTCGTCGAAAAAGTACCGGCCGCGCGCGCGAGAGGGAAACAGAAACACAACACGTTGTCGGCGGTTGAATTTATATAACAATAATCGTAAACGTTTCAAGTGGGCATCAATATATAACAATTGCTTATTTTTACACAGTTGCCCAGTGCCATTTTCGTCTAGTTTGACTTTCATTGTAGTATTTTCAATTCAAGATGGCGTACAGAGGTCAGAAGGTTCAGAAGGTTATGGTTCAGCCGATTGTATCCTTTTATGGCATATTCGCTGTTGTCTGGCTAATTGTTTTTTGTTGTGAAAGTATAAAAATGTGTGGTATGCTCTTCCTGTGGCTTCCTGTGGTAGTGTGTTAGACGAAGAGTGCCTTCTTAACTCCGCAATTTCAATTTCAGTTGGGGAAACTACGAGGAACCAAATAAAAATTGGATTAGCCAATCAACGGCTGGAGTGGGCTGGGCGATGACCATATATGGTCATAAATCAGACAACTTCATCTTTTCAATGCATCCTAGCATTCAAATGAAAAAATAAGGCATAAGAATGTTTTTTAACCACACAAGGCCTACCCTCACTCGGTGCACAATTAACTGGCAGCTCTAAATCGCACAGTTACAACACAAGGTCAATCAGTGATTGGCAAATATGGCGGATTGAAACAGACGTGTCATAAAATGTAAACAGTACTGTGGTTTAAAAGTGTCATTATTTTTATTAATTTGTTTATGGTTTTTGTAATTGTGGTAATGTTATTATTTTAAAATTAAATATCTTTGTTTATTGTAATTAAATTAAACCTTTTAACAATTTTCTTTCAAAACACCAATCCATTTATTGAATGGCCATCTGATTGTGACTCCCAGAACCTGCAGAAAAGCCGTTTTCCTTTCGCCATTTTTGAGTCATTTCGCCGAATTTAATCAAATCACGCTAATTCCTGGTGTAAAGTGAAAGCCTTTTCTCTCCAGTAAGTGGATGGGATACCGCAAGTACCAGCTTGCTATACCGTTTTTCACCCTTAGTAGCGGGGGCTGCATTTATGCCCATATATGGTCATCAAAAGTCCATTTATTGACCAATCAATTTTTTGATTTTTGCCTTGTAGTTTCCCCAACTGATTTATGTGCACAGGACTGAACAGTGGTTTGATGTGTTGTGGGAGGGGGGGGGGGTGTACCTACTTTTCATTATTATTTTAAAAGTGATCATCGCACCCTAACATAAGGTTTTAGTTTAGGATAGCCAAATTGAGATCCCTGGCTAATAATCACTGGTTTCGGCACTCACAACATTGAGAATTGCCTCAAATTCAAAATATTTAATTTCAAAGTTGCAGCACTTGATTGAGAGCCCAGAGGGGCAAATGCATTTGAATGCACCCCTCTGACTGTGACCTCAGTACAGATCTAGATATTTTTAGATATTATACTTTGACGTAGAAGATTTAAAAATCACTTACAAAATATAAACCCTGGTAAAGATGAGGTAGCTTATGCTGCTTTGTGTGCAACATCTGTCACACTT